GTCGGGAATCGAACCCGGGTCTTCGGAGTGTCGAGCGAACGCTTTAACCACTAGCCTACCCGACCGCCCCCGTTTTCAAAGAATATCTATATATAATAGATAGGAAAGGTCTGAAAAGAACAACCTCAGTAAGTCAGTCGAAGAGTCAGCGCGTCGCAATACACTTACATCAAATTCAGGACCTCAAAATGGCCGACACCATAAACGTGAAGATTTACGAAGTTGTTTTTGAACCTGTAGCTATTACAAGCGTTAGTCGCCATTGATGAATTTGCCGAGCATTGAAATGTGAAAGGTGTGCCGTATATATATACTGTGGTAAAATTGCTGTCAATGTCAGTCTCTACACTGATCGAGTCGACACTACGATAGTTTTGATCATATAAACAAATGTAACATACATTATTACCACCAGAGTCTGTTTCTGGTCAAACGTTTCAAAGCAATATCAAGAACTATACTCTCGAGTCGATGCTGTGGGCTCGTACTGATTGTAGATCAACCCATTAGCAAAAGTTGCTTAAGTCGTTTAATTTCTTTCAAGGACACAGAGTACAGTCTTGTCCTTACTTTGTACAGGCGAAATGGTTACTGAAAGAGGCAACACATATTTTAAATGAGTGAGTTGGGTTTAACGCCGCTTTTAACAGTATTCCAGTTATATCGCGGCGTGTCAGCTTAATGTGGGAGGAAAGTCCGAAGTGACGCAGGTCTTAGACGTTTACCACTTCGGTGAAACCCACGAGCACGCGTATGGTGCTGACAAACCTAGAAACATAATCGGGTCGAACCGGGATTTGAACCTACGATCATAGGTTTCTGGCGTGTCCAAGGGACGCAACTCTGCACAGCGAATCGCGGCGCTTTAGACGACTGGGCCACCCGTGCCTCCTCTTTCAAATGAATGGTATCATTTGGCCTTCGTCCTTTCTTGTGATCATGGCTACGTCGATGTCCTCACAGACCTTCAACTTCAAGGCTTTTTCAAGCGTGTATGAACCCTGCACTGAAACCATCTGATCCTTGTTGCGTAAATGGCATCTATTCTGCCCAAGACCCCCCTCCCGGATGTCAAAGTGACATTTGAAATAAAGTATGGTATAATATTTTGAAATAATAAATCATTTTTTTTATTCATTAACAAGTATGAATAAAATCGTTTATCATATAATGGGTAGGTTTCTCGGCAGGATAAAGCCAACGGATAAAAACGATATCCGTTGGGGTCATATGCGGATAAAGATGCAAATATCAAAGGTCAAGTAGGGACTACTTTTACTGTTTATAAACAAACATGGCGTCGCCCTTGTCATTCGGCGATCGAGTCAGAATTAACCATCGGGAATATGGATAAACTACAGGGATAATTGCTATCATTATCAAAAGAACAGTCATATAAACTGAAAATCAGTGTCTAACTGTGACGTAGCTAAGGCATTTTATAAGTTTTGGCAACTTTGGCGATATAAATTTCGAAACAATTTTGCGAGGGCACGAGGCCTAGCCAAGCGGGATCAGTAACCATATCTGCAGCTTGAAACCTTCTCCACAAATTAAAAAAGATTGGATTTGGCCGAAATATGTTTGAATTGTTACCTTGTTTCGTTTTGTCGCTGTGTGTACATCTGACTACACTTCTTAACGTTATGACAGGACCGACCGACTGTCAACAACGTCTGACCGTGGCCGTGACGTCTCATTGACTAGGGTTAGAGTAGCTTCCCTTTGACAAAGGGCAGTTACTCTAGCGGACAGACCGATGGATTGCCGCGAAAGGATATTAAAAACAATTGTTGTTTTGCGTATATGTTGCTTCGCCACTGTATAAGAAACAGATTTAAGTTGGAACTATATTGGTTTCTGTCACTGTCCGACTGACACATCACTTACCCTGTGACGTAATAAATATTAATGCGCGCATTCCAGGTAAACTCGCAATGTTTCGGTAATGTTTGTGAGAGAGGGAAAGCGATTTTGAAGCACAGAATTAAAGAATGACATTATATGATAAAGAGGTTATCACGCTTGTGTGTTTGGGGATGGTAAATATCCTGTATTAGGAATAAACACTATGTATTTAGCTCGCCAAGGCTCGCTAAATACAATGTTTATTCCTAATGCAGGATATTTACCATCCCCAAACACACTCGCGTGATAACCTCTATATATCAAAAGATACACATCTTTGGATAAATGGAATAGATAATGTACTTCTGTGATATAAATGATGTTATCACATATCTGAATTCATACAAAATGAACTGTTATCCTGAACTCGTCTTCAATACAAAGGCACCCGTGAAGACTCGGGGAAGAATAGGTCTTCAGCAACCCATGCTTAACATGAAAGGCAACGACGCTTGTCGTAAGAAGCGACGAACGAAATCGGGTGGTCAGGCTCGCTGACTTGGTTGACGCATGTCATTGTATCTCAATTGCTTGGATCGATGCTCGTGATGTCAATCACTGGATTGTCTGGTCCAGACACTATAGAGCCTTCTATAGCTGGAATATTGCTGAGTGCGGCGTAAAACAAAAAACAAAACAAAAAACATTACTGGTATCCACATACCGACATAATTATGGTAGTGGATTGTTTGAGTGAGTGAGTGAGTGAGTTGGGTTTAACGCCGCTTTTAACAGTATTCCAGTTAGATCACCGCGTGCCAGCTTAATGTGGGAGGAAAGCCCGAAGTGATGCAGGTCTCAGACGTTTACCACTTCGGTGAAACCCACGAGCACGGGTATGGTGCTGACAAACCTAGAAACATAATCGGGGCGAACCGGGATTCGAACCCACAATCATAGGTTTCTGGCGTGCCGAAGGGACGCAACTCTGCACAGCGAATCGCGGCGCCTTAGACGACTGGGCCACCCGTGCCCCCGGATTGTTTGAATGGTAGCAGGTAACCCTAAAACACAAAATATTTCTCGGTCATCCGAGTCGCACAATCAGTCCTGCGCTTCAGTCACTTTCTTTGCGAACAATTTGTTTTCAGTTTTCCTGTATGATATGAAGCAAAAGCATTCAATATGTGCCCAGTTGTGTTTGATGGCATTCTTGGTGGGGATAAAATAAAACGTTTTCCTACCTCATCAGTCTATATCGGCCAATAATTGGAGTTATCTCCCGAACTGACAATCAACTGATCAACTGATTTTGTTTTGTTTGATTGTTTGTTAGTTTAACGCCACACTCAACAATATTCCAGCTATATGACGGCGGTCTGTAAATAATCGAGTCTGGACAAGGCAATCCAGAGATAGACCAAGTCAGAGAGTCTGACCACCCGATCCTATCTGTTATTTTCCTCTTACAACGACCCGTGGAGATTCCGGGGTAGAATAGATCTTCAGCAACCCATGCTTGCCGTAAAAGGTGACTTTGCTTGTCGTAAAAGGCGACTAACAGGATCGGGTGGTCAGGCTCGCTGACTTGGTTGATGCATGTCATCGATCCCAATTGCGTGGGTCGATGCTCATGACATCAATCACTGGATTGTCTGGTCCAGATTCGATTATTTACAGACCGCCGTCATATAGCTGGAATATTGCTGAGTGCGGCGTTAAACAACAAACCAACCAACCAACCAAGCCTCTTACAACATGCACAGTCGCATGTTACGGCAAGCATGCTTTGCTGAAGACCTATTATAAACCTACTAGCTGTTTGTGTAACTCGATATGGAGTTTTTGAAATTGTGGTAACACCTCGTAGGAGGTACTACAACGATTGTAACACTTAGCAGGAGGTATTACAACGATTGTAACACCTCGCAGGAGGGCTTACAATCATTGTAAACCCGTGATAGAACAAAAACTACGAACAGCCTACGAGACGCACGTGCAGATTTCGCGCCATTGCGAGACGCACGTGCAGATTTCGCACTGTTGCGAAGCCCACGTGCTGAGGTCACCGGTTTCATTGAACCGAGTTCACGACTGCAGGCGACATTTCATCTCCGATACAGGTTATACATTTGAGAGTTTTTATTAGATATTTAATTAAAAACGTTGTCTATGCGATGAGTCGGTTTATACGTTGGAGAAACCATTTCTCCTCGGGATTACCAGCGATTGTAACCGTGACATTCGGTGACATACCTCGGGGGGCCTACGTGTCATGTCAGTGTTTCCCCTCGGTATGTCACCTCAGGTCAGGGTTTCCCCTCGGTATGTCACCTCATGTCAGGGTTTCCCCTCCGTATGTCAGCTCATGTCAGGGTTTCCCCTCGGTACGTCGCCTCATGTCAGGGTTTCCCCTCGGTACGTCACCTCATGTCAGGGTTTCCCCTCGGTATGTCACCTCATGTCAGGGTTTCCCCTCCGTATGTCAGCTCATGTCAGGGTTTCCCCTCCGTATGTCAGCTCATGTCAGGGTTTCCCCTCCGTATGTCAGCTCATGTCAGGGTTTCCCCTCGGTACGTCGCCTCATGTCAGGGTTTCCCCTCGGTACGTCACCTCATGTCAGGGTTTCCCCTCGGTATGTCACCTCATGTCAGGGTTTCCCCTCCGTATGTCACCTCATGTCAGGGTTTCCCCTCCGTATGTCAGCTCATGTCACGGTTTCCCCTCGGTATGTCACCACATGTCAGGGTTTCCCCTCGGTATGTCACCTCATGTCAGGGTTTCCCCTCTGTATGTCAGCTCATGTCAGGGTTTCCCCTTGGTATGTCACCTCATGTCAGGGTTTCCCCTCCGGATGTCAGCTCATGTCAGGGTTTCCCCTCGGTATGTCACCTCAGGTCAGGGTTTCCCCTCGGTATGTCACCTCATGTCAGGGTTTCCCCTCGGTATGTCACCTCATGTCAGGGTTTCCCCTCCGGATGTCAGCTCATGTCAGGGTTTCCCCTCGGTATGTCACCTCAGGTCAGGGTTTCCCCTCGGTATGTCACCTCATGTCAGGGTTTCCCCTCGGTATGTCACCTCATGTCAGGGTTTCCCCTCGGTACGTCACCTCATGTCAGGGTTAACCCCCTCGGTATGTCACCTCATGTCAGGGTTTCCCCTCTGTATGTCACCTCATGTCAGGGTTTCCCCTCGGTATGTCACCACATGTCAGGGTTTCCCCTCGGTACGTCACCTCATGTCAGGGTTTCCCCTCGGTATGTCAGCACATGTCAGGGTTTCCCCTCGTTTTGTCAGCACATGTCAGGGTTTCCCCTCGGTATGTCACCTCATGTCCGGGTTTCCCCTCGGTATGTCACCACATGTCAGGGTTTCCCCTCGGTATGTCACCTCATGTCAGGGTTTCCCCTCGGTACGTCACCTCATGTCAGGGTTTCCCCTCGGTACGTCACCTCATGTCAGGGTTTCCCCTCGGTACGTCACCTCATGTCAGGGTTTCTCCTTGGTATGTCACCTCATGTCAAGGGTTTACAATCGCTGGTAATCCCTCGTAGAAATGGTTTCTCCTATACTTCCACCCCAGATCTTCAGAGACAGTTATCTCCCGTACTGACAACACTTTTAGTCATCAACTGAACATGGATAGCTGTGAGACGATGTCGGTGATATCCCAATTGTCACTTTAGTTGTAATACTTGTAGTACTATTATTTTCTGACTAGATTATACACACTGTGCATAGTTCTATAGTTTGCCGGAAATTGGAGGTATTTGTAATATTGGTGTGTAACTTGCCACACCCACAAGGGCCTTGACTGAGTAAATGAGTGAGTGTCCCAAATGACTTGGGCCTCATCCCTTTCAAGAACTCAAACAGAGCATAAATACATTTGATGTAATATGTCCGTAACAAGTCTCAGATGCCAACCACAGAGAGTTATGAAGAAGGATTATTTGTGAATATCAATATAAAAAAATCATATTTACACCCCAACCATAAAAATATATAGCAGTGATGCCATTATAGCAGTAATGACATCTTGTGCATGGCAATCTTCCATACACAACACACCAGACCCAAACAAATCTTGTATTTTATTCTGGACAGACATTCTTGTTGACCAGATCAACATAGGTGCACGCCAGCTCCTTTACCATTGGCAGCTGAAAGGAAAAAAAACCCAGTTGTTCCTACGACTGATCTTGTGTCATTTATATTTCATTAGACTAACATATAGTCTCTGAAATGAACATATCGTACAAAAAAAACAGTTGCTCAGTTATCTTAATAAAAATATAATAAAAAGGGAGCCCAGTGATTCTCTTCATTTTCAGATACTGATACTGCAGTAATCTAGACTTGCCAAACATTATAGACTTGCATGGGCTGTAGTTGATATATTTGTATCAGGGTCTGTAAGACAGACTAATATTTCATTACAGACATCAATGACACTGTATTTTCTCTTAAAACATGATTACTGTGATAATAATGATTGTATTTTCTCACAAAACAGTACTATGACAGTAACAACACTGTATTTTATCACAAAACATGATTTCTGAAAAATAAGTCATAACAGATCGCCTTTAAAATGACATGAAGTGAGCCTTGTCTGCATTAGCTTCATCATTGGTCCTGAAGCAGGAATAGAAATATTACATCAGTTTGTTTCCTCTGCATAGTAACCACACATTTGCCATATCTTGAGGTTCTTCAGGAACCAAGAGAATTTTTATAAATACATAAAATGTCAACACCGGAGAATTACACAAGAGCAAATTTACTGATTTTGTTGAAGCTATAAAGGATATGTTCATTTTGAATTACATCTGTTGTGTACAAGTACCAAGATTCTTCTGCTTATAAGTGAAGAAGAAACGTTTGAGAAATATGCAACCAAGTTGGGGGTAGTTAAATGTAAGCACTGTACAAAGATATTAGTTTCTGTCAAGCTACTTGTATTCATGTGAATTATAACAAAACAGGTGAGGTGAAATTGGTTTTAATGACGCTTTCAAAAATATTGCAAAATATAGAGGAAGATTTTTTAACACGGATACCCCTCTCAGACATAATTTACTGACTCTGCGCCAACCCATTCTCGGTTTATCCTATTAATGCTGAGGATGACAACAAGGACAATCTCTTTACCGTATATGTCCGCAGATAAGCCGAAATTTGAGGACCAGAAAAAAGATTCAGTAGAAAGGGGTCGGTACATATTTTTGTATGATGAAGACAGGGAATGAACCACTGACCTCCCGCTCTCTCCACTGGACCAGGGACCAGTATCATAAGAAAACAAATGTGACTGGAGAGAATTCAGTTAGTTTGTTGCTTAACACCCCACTCAGCAACCATGAGATATACACAGGATATACACAGGACCTACCCAACATGCTGCTGAGGAAGGAGGCGTAAGTCGCCGAGCCAGTCACATGACCTGCTGTAGCAGGGTTACTCCGTACAGTCTTACAGTGGAAGGCGGACCCTGCTGCCCTATCCCCCGGACCCCACACCTCCACCTCCACGATGTGCCAGTCTCTCAGCCTGCAACCAATCACAGAGTCAGTGAGTCAGACACATGACCCTGCTGCCATATCCCCCGGGCCCCACACCTCCACCTCCACGATGTGCCAGTCTCTCAGCCTGCAACCAATCACAGAGTCAGTGAGTCAGACACATGACCCTGCTGCCATATCCCCCATGCCCCACACCTCCACCTCCACGATGTGCCAGTCTCTCAGCCTGCAACCAATCACAGAGTCAGTGAGTCAGACACATGACCCTGCTGCCCTATCCCCCATGCCCCACACCTCCACCTCCACGATGTGCCAGTCTCTCAGCCTGCAACCAATCACAGAGTGAGTGAGTCAGACACATGACCCTGCTGCCATATCCCCCATGCCCCACACCTCCACCTCCACGATGTGCCAGTCTCTCAGCCTGCAACCAATCACAGAGTGAGTGAGTCAGACACATGACCCTGCTGCCATATCCCCCATGCCCCACACCTCCACCTCCACGATGTGCCAGTCTCTCAGCCTGCAACCAATCACAGAGTCAGTGAGTCAGACACATGACCCTGCTGCCATATCCCCCATGCCCCACACCTCCACCTCCACGATGTGCCAGTCTCTCAGCCTGCAACCAATCACAGAGTGAGTGAGTCAGACACATGACCCTGCTGCCATATCCCCCATGCCCCACACCTCCACCTCCACGATGTGCCAGTCTCTCAGCCTGCAACCAATCACAGAGTGAGTGAGTCAGACACATGACCCTGCTGCCATATCCCCCATGCCCCACACCTCCACCTCCACGATGTGCCAGTCTCTCAGCCTGCAACCAATCACAGAGTCAGTGAGTCAGACACATGACCCTGCTGCCATATCCCCCATGCCCCACACCTCCACCTCCACGATGTGCCAGTCTCTCAGCCTGCAACCAATCACAGAGTCAGTGAGTCAGACACATGACCCTGCTGCCATATCCCCCATGCCCCACACCTCCACCTCCACGATGTGCCAGTCTCTCAGCCTGCAACCAATCACAGAGTCAGTGAGTCAGACACATGACCCTGCTGCCATATCCCCCGGACCCCACACCTCCACCTCCACGATGTGCCAGTCTCTCAGCCTGCAACCAATCACAGAGTCAGTGAGTCAGACACATGACCCTGCTGCCATATCCCCCGGACCCCACACCTCCACCTCCACGATGTGCCAGTCTCTCAGCCTGCAACCAATCACAGAGTCAGTGAGTCAGACACATGACCCTGCTGCCATATCCCCCAGGCCCCACACCTCCACCTCCACGATGTGCCAGTCTCTCAGCCTGCAACCAATCACAGAGTGAGTGAGTGAGTCAGACACATGACCCTGCTGCCATATCCCCCAGGCCCCACACCTCCACCTCCACGATGTGCCAGTCTCTCAGCCTGCAACCAATCACAGAGTGAGTGAGTGAGTCAGACACATGACCCTGCTGCCATATCCCCCAGGCCCCACACCTCCACCTCCACGATGTGCCAGTCTCTCAGCCTGCAACCAATCACAGAGTGAGTGAGTCATACAGACAGACCCTGCTGCCATATCCCCCATGCCCCACACCTCCACCTCCACGATGTGCCAGTCTCTCAGCCTGCAACCAATCACAGAGTCAGTGAGTCAGACAGACAGACCCTGCTGCCATATCCCCCATGCCCCACACCTCCACCTCCACGATGTGCCAGTCTCTCAGCCTGCAACCAATCACAGAGTGAGTGAGTCAGACAGACAGACCCTGCTGCCATATCCCCCATGCCCCACACCTCCACCTCCACGATGTGCCAGTCTCTCAGCCTGCAACCAATCACAGAGTGAGTGAGTCAGACACATGACCCTGCTGCCATATCCCCCAGGCCCCACACCTCCACCTCCACGATGTGCCAGTCTCTCAGCCTGCAACCAATCACAGAGTGAGTGAGTCAGACACATGACCCTGCTGCCATATCCCCCAGGCCCCACACCTCCACCTCCACGATGTGCCAGTCTCTCAGCCTGCAACCAATCACAGAGTGAGTGAGTCAGACACATGACCCTGCTGCCATATCCCCCATGCCCCACACCTCCACCTCCACGATGTGCCAGTCTCTCAGCCTGCAACCAATCACAGAGTGAGTGAGTCAGACACATGACCTTGCTGCCATATCCCCCGGACCCCACACCTCCACCTCCACGATGTGCCAGTCTCTCAGCCTGCAACCAATCACAGAGTGAGTGAGTCAGACACATGACCCTGCTGCCATATCCCCCGGGCCCCACACCTCCACCTCCACGATGTGCCAGTCTCTCAGCCTGCAACCAATCACAGAGTCAGTGAGTCAGACACATGACCCTGCTGCCATATCCCCCGGGCCCCACACCTCCACCTCCACGATGTGCCAGTCTCTCAGCCTGCAACCAATCACAGAGTCAGTGAGTCAGACACATGACCCTGCTGCCATATCCCCCGGGCCCCACACCTCCACCTCCACGATGTGCCAGTCTCTCAGCCTGCAACCAATCACAGAGTGAGTGAGTCAGACACATGACCCTGCTGCCATATCCCCCATGCCCCACACCTCCACCTCCACGATGTGCCAGTCTCTCAGCCTGCAACCAATCACAGAGTGAGTGAGTCAGACACATGACCCTGCTGCCATATCCCCCATGCCCCACACCTCCACCTCCACGATGTGCCAGTCTCTCAGCCTGCAACCAATCACAGAGTCAGTGAGTCAGACACATGACCCTGCTGCCATATCCCCCAGGCCCCACACCTCCACCTCCACGATGTGCCAGTCTCTCAGCCTGCAACCAATCACAGAGTGAGTGAGTCAGACACATGACCCTGCTGCCATATCCCCCAGGCCCCACACCTCCACCTCCACGATGTGCCAGTCACTTAGCCGGCAACCAATCACAGAGTGAGTGAGTCAGACAGACAGACCCTGCTGCCATATCCCCCGGACCCCACACCTCCACCTCCACGATGTGCCAGTCACTTAGCCGGCAACCAATCACAGAGTGAGTGAGTCAGACAGACCCTGCTGCCATATCCCCCGGGCCCCACACCTCCACCTCCACGATGTGCCAGTCTCTCAGCCTGCAACCAATCACAGTGTGAGTGAGTCAGACAGACAGACCCTGCTGCCATATCCCCCGGGCCCCACACCTCCACCTCCACGATGTGCCAGTCTCTCAGCCTGCAACCAATCACAGAGTGAGTGAGTCAGACACATGACCCTGCTGCCATATCCCCCGGACCCCACACCTCCACCTCCACGATGTGCCAGTCTCTCAGCCTGCAACCAATCACAGTGTGAGTGAGTCAGACACATGACCCTGCTGCCATATCCCCAAGGGCCCCACACCTCCACCTCTACGATGTGTCAGTCTCTCAGCCTGCAACCAATCACAGAGTGACTGAGTCAGACAAACAGACTCTGCTGCCATATCCCCCGGGCCCCACACCTCCACCTCCACCTCCACCTCCACGATGTGCCAGTCTCTCAGCTTGCAACCAATCACAGAGTCAGTGAGTCAGACAGACCCTGCTGCCATATCCCCCGGGCCAACACCTCCACCTCCACAATGTGCCAGTCTCTCAGCTTGCAACCAATCACAGAGTCAGTGAGTCAGACAGACAGACCCTGCTGCCAAATCCCTCGGGCCCCACACCTCCACCTCCACGATGTGCCAGTCTCTCAGCTTGCAACCAATCACAGAGTGACTGAGTCAGTGAGTCAGCCAGTGAGTCAGTGACAGGGTGAGTCAGTGAGTCAGTGACAGAGGAAGTCAGTCAGTGACGGAGTAAGTGAGTGAATCAGTGAGTCAGTCAATGAGTCAGTGAGCGAGTGAGTAAGACAGTGAATCGGTAAGTCATTAAGTAAGTCAGTGACAGCGTGAGTCAGTGACAGCGTGAGTCAGTTGGTCTGTGACAGAGTAAGTCAGTCAGTGGGTCATTGAGTCATTGATTCAGTCATTGAGTCAGTCAGTCAGTCAGTCAGTCAGTCAGTCAGTCAGTCAGTCAGTCAGTGGATACAGTTTAATTGCAGTTTCAGCAGCCAGTAAGCAACAGAGTCAGGCAAGACACAGACAGTACAACGAGGGGGATGACCTGCAATCAGTCCCGGTGTTCTCAGGGACCAAAGTCTGCAGCAAATCTGCATAAATCGGAACAAAACATTCCCACTTGATGTCAAAATAATAACATGAAATATAGGAACAATAAAGAGAAGGCTTTGATTGTCAGCTGTTCATCACTGCATTGTTGGCAATGCTAAAATCATTCTGAATTTAAGAGAAAAGGAACATTAAACAAGACACCTGGTGGTAAATAGAAACAGGACCAGAAGAACGATCATTTTAAAGGGGTACGTTTTACACTCTTTACAAGCAATGAAATTTTTTCATGAAAAAATCACTTCAGACATGTAGTGCAAGGAAGCGATGTCAATTTTTTTATTTAGTCTGAAGCAGTCCCTCCGAATCAGAATGAGTCTGATGGACAGATTAAACACAATCCTGTATCCATCTAGATTGATAATACAAGCTCTTAGCTCACTCTGGATCTGCCACGATGCTACCCTGTACTTTGTCGAAGCCGAGGTTGTGAGCCGCTAGCGCCGCTGCTGCCATGGTGTTGACGTTGTTGGGGGCCAGGGGACACAACTCTCTCACCGGTCCTGTCAACAAGGGAATCAGTGGTCTACTTCATGTGTATGTGCAGCAGCAAACAACTTGTGACCTTAACATACGAATATATCTTTGATGATGCAACCATCTATGTAATCAGAGGTACAGATAAGCAGGGTATTAGCGTAAAATCCCCTCCCCCCCTCAATTAGATATTCAGAACCCAATTAAATTACTTTCAATTAACTTGCGTACAGAAATGCACGCATTAAATGAAAAAGTCTCATGTATAAAAACAGCTTGCTTAAAACCCAATGAGTACAAAGGAGCTCATTTCCGAAACACAATTATGAGCTAATTTACTTTCCGAGTCAAGCCTATTTAACTAGAACAGTTATATACATCTAAAACATTATTTCATTTTTTTTTACCTTAATACGTTCACCAATTTTGGGAAGAACCCAATAGAATGATGCATAGATGAGGGAAAACATATTGGTTTCCAATGAAAAATGTAATAACCCAATTAAAATAGAAACCCTAGAGTAAAAACTCAATTGCTCAAAGAGTTATCTGGAGCTCTTGTACTAATCGGGTTGGACTCATCTGGGGGGGACAGAACTTTGGCCGCAATCACTAAGCACAATGGGGGATGAACAAATCTTTACCAGTCTGGTTTCAAACACTATAGACCGGCTCCGTGGTCTAGTGGTAGAGTGTCCGCTCGGAGAGTGGAAGGTTCGGGGTTCGATCCCCGTCCGCGTCATACCAAAAGACGTTAAAATATGGTACTTGTTGTTACCCTGTCTGGCGCTCAGCATAAAAGGGATAAAACAAGGACTGGTCGGCTTGGAGTCAGTATGAGTTGGGTATTCATGTCAAACTACGGCATGGTATCTCAGTGGGCTATCACCATAAATCAGCACCTGTCTGGACCAGTACAAGCACACACACACACATATGCTGGTCGCCATATGAGTGCAATAGTCTTGAATAAGACGCTAAACTCCATTTCAGTAAATATATTGTTACTCCATCTAAAATATAAGTACTCGAATTTGAAGGCAAATGTTTTAGGAAATGAATCACGTTGCATTTGTCGTTGGACCATGACGCATGCACTTTGCTGCAGCACATAAAGTGCATGCAGTGACTGTGAGTGAGTATGGTTTTACGCCGCTTTTAGCAATATTCAAGCAATATCATATCATTGTACCCATGTCAGGAATAGAACCCCAGTCTCCGGAATGACAAGCAAACACTTTAGCCACTAGGCTACCCGACCGCCCAAGTGCATGCAGATTTAGACCAGGATGAGGAAAATACTGCGGGACAGTGGGCAGCTCTGTGTAGGGACAAATCAATATCGAAATCGATTATCCTCAGCAATACAGAGATACGGTAACAACAGCTACACTGAGCCATTAGTTAGCACGTTCAGCCGCAAAAGTATTGTCAACTACTGGCTCATTCAAGGAATGCTTGATGAGACGTCAGAAGCTTTTAGAACCTTTATGAACTGATGTTTTCTTCATTGCCAAAGAGGAATGTGTGACTGTGACTTCTGTCAATCTCATTAAAATCAGACCTTAGTTCTCACTACCGCTAAACAAAGATCTGAAGACATCCCATTAGGGGTCACATCAGAACAACCTTTCATCCGACCAATCAGTGCGTTGCTTACCAGATTATGAAAGTGACAGTCGGAAGGTGATTTCTAGTCATGCAATCTTGAAAACTTTAACATGGTGTATACCAAACGATAGTTACGGGTTTAACGACTGAATCCGTACAATCTTGACCATCTATTAGCCATTCCAGAATGTTTTTTTGTTCAGGTTTCAAATTTGTAATCGAGAATTTGTGAAAATATGTTTCGAAGCGTAGTCGCCAATTTGAAATTTGTGCCGTAAAGCACGAGAAAGCTGCCTTCTGATTGGTCATTCCATTGGTCGGTCAAAGTTCGCGCAAGGTCAGCCTGACATGACCCGTAATGGGATGTCCTCAGATCTTTGTTTAGCGGAAGCGAGAACAAAGATCTGATTTTAATGAGATTGGACTTCTGAGGGTGACAACTTGGAACCTGTTTCATATCAACTCACCATCATACAGAACTGTCCTTGTATCTTTCACCTGGTCATTCTTGACGTTCAGGTGACCGTTGAGTTTGAAGCTGGATGGGTGCTTGGTCATTGTGACTTTTAAGGCCTAGGAAATGATAACGAAATAAATGAACAGATACACGGATAAGAAATTCTGAATACTGGCAAAACAATCAAATGAATTGTTCTCTACAATACAGTGAGTGAGTGAGTGAGTGAGTTGGATTTAACGCCGCTTTTAACAGTATTCCAGTTATATCGCGGCGTGTCAGCTTAATTTGGGAGGAAAGCCCAAAGTGATGCAGGTCTCAGACGTTTACTACTTCAGTGAAACCCACGAGCACAGGTATGGTGCTGACAACCCTAGAAACATAATTGGGGCGAACCGGGATTCGAATCCACAACCATAGGTTTCGGGCGTATCCAGGGGACGCAACTCTGCACAGCGAATCGCGGCGCCTTAGACGACTGGGCCACCCGTGCCCCCCCTCTACAATACAGGAACCATGGAGTAGAATCTAAGAGTTTCACAACAATATTACCAAAGGGGCAGTGATACAGGTGCAGATTGTCAGTAGTTTTGTCAGCATATGCTTTTCTTTATGCTGATTAGGAACATGTACAATTTAACGGATAACAACTTCTGGTTTATTGCATTAGCGACATTCTGTTGTAGATACTTCCACCATTACTTCCACTCTAGTTTCTTATTTACTCAACAACTTCTGGAATGTCTGTCAAAATGTTATTGCTGATTGACCAGTTCATGCAATTTTCCACAGCAAAATGATTTCAAAACAAATAAATTACATCACACTTGTTCATGACGTCACAGACTTGACACTAAACACTAAACACTAAACTGACTCAGCAGCTGTCTCATCTTGTCATCAGGAAACTGTACATTTTGTTTCTGGAATAACCTACTTGTCACTCAGACTTAAGGTGAGGTGAAATGGGGTTTAACGTCGCGTCCAAGATTATTGCACTTATATAGCGACATGCATGCAGGTGTATGTGTGCGTGTGTGGCTGCTTGTACTAGTCCGGACTGATGCCGATTTATAGTGCTTGCACACTGAGATACCATGCCGCAGTTTAACATGAATACCCCACTCATACACAGTATACTGACTCCGAGCCGACCAGTCCTTGTTTTAGCCCCTTAATGCCGAGCGCCAGACAGGGTAACAACAAGTACCATCTTTTAATGTCTTTTGGTATGACGCGGCTGGGGATCGAACCCCGGACCTTCCACTCTCCGGGCGGACGCTCTACCACTAGACCACTGAGGCGGTCTACTCAGACTTAAGAATTATCTGTCTCTAATACATTAATGTTGGAAACCCATCACCAAGGCTCATGACAATGCATGCTGTTGCATGTAGACTTGTATGTAGACTTGTATGTAGACTTGTCTGAGAATACCTGTAATGTTCCCCGGTCGGCCATCTTCTTGATATCATCGCCTCCCCAGAATGCACCACTAGGTATGTACAGGCCGTGGTTTGTAGCTGCACTGCGCAATCCTGCCTCCAGATCGGCATCCGCCAGGGCTGTGGGAGAACCTATCTACAACACAGGAGGTCCTCCATAACTCACTGGTGCTTCTTTGCACGATGTCAACAAACGACTTGAGTGTAATGGTCACAAAAATGAACTGTCTACTTAAGAAAATAGTTGTAAAAAAGAATGTATACTCCAAGATGAAATGCTTGCTTCCAAACATAGAGGCAATGTGGTAAATATACGGAGTCGATAAAAGTTTAAACCTCTAAGGCCTGCCGTGGAGTTTTAAACTTTTATCAAGTGTATATAAATTTTATATGGAGGCCATCACCTTTCCAGCTGAGAGGACAGTCTTAGCCTTCTTTACTGGTGGTGATGTCAAATGTTTCCACTGTTTCCATAGTCACAAATCACGGCAAGAACCTTTCTGGGCCAGCTTCAAACAGAACTAGTTCGATGATCGATGATAAAAGTGGAAAAAATCCTCAGCAAACCTCAGAGTTTTTCCATTTTTATCAACTTGTGTTTATATATCTGATATCCAAAGACACTCGGGTGAGATTCTATATTTGTCCGCATCAAAAGATTTCTCTAATACGTAATTCCTTCTAGACAAGATGCAGAACTTGATCATATTTGTTTGTTTGTCTGTTGTTTAACACCACAATCAGAAATATACCAGCCATATGACAGTGGTCTGTAAATAATCAAGTCTGGACCAGACAATCCAGTGACTGACATCATGAGCATCGACCCACACAACTGGGATACGATGACATGCATCAAACAAGTCAGCGAGCCTGACCACCGGATCCCGTTAGTCACCTCTTACGACAAGCATAGCTGCCTGAACTCATTAATAAATCACCCCACGTGCTACATTCTACATCAGTCAGATGCTGAGTTTGCACTGCAAATTACCTGCCACAGTATTCTTTCCTAAAAACACGAAGGATCTAGTTTACTGCCTCGCCTGCTGTGTCCAAAAAGAAGGGAGTTACAGCATCCAAGGCAGTAAACAAAACACCCTTTGAAGAGGATGTCGGACAGTAACAGTGAAGCAGAACATAGCTTCCATTTTGCTACTATTCCAAGCCATACTTTACCATGTAGTCAGCCTTCTGCAGGATATCAGGGCCATATTGTTGTGTGATGCTTGGATGGGCCACCTCTACTACCAAGTCTGCACGGCTGTCACCATTGATCAAAATGAAGAACAAAAGTCAAGGGTCTTTGTCGTAAACCTGATATTAAAACTTAAGATTTAAAGCATGCCATGATTTACACCGACAATGTAATGTATGAATCGTGATACAGAGGCTGTAAATCAATGTATTGCATTGTGGCCTCGTATTGGGATACAATACTGCATCACCACATTGTTACACTGGCGCCTTGATTCAAATATTGTAGCCAATTATTGTAAAGTCCCCTGGAACCAATAAGTTCTAACACTGGCATCCTTGATACATATACATGGAGAATCTCAGCTTTACATCCAGAATGAAATATACATCAGGGATTTATCTACAACTGCTCCCATGCTGATACTCGGTCAGCAGCGAATGTCAGTAAACAGAGTCCCAAACAGGAATAACAAAAGGCCCAAATCATGTAAATATACAAATACAATGTTATAACGCAACCTGTGAGTGAGTGAGTGAGTGAGTGAGTGAGTGAGTGAGTGAGGGGAGGGAGGGGAGGGGAGGGAGGGAGGGGAGGGGAGGGAGGGAGGGAGGGAGGGAGGGTGGGTGAGGGAGCATGCGTGCGTGCAATATTCCAGCAATTTCACTGCAGGGGACACCAGAAATGGGCTTCAGACATTGTTACCATTTGTGGAATTGAAAGAGAACTATTTAATCACTAAGCTAAAAAGGCAAACAATAACTCTGAAAAAAGGACATGAAAAAATCCCAATTACCCGGTATGCACAAAAATATTTGGTGGAGTCACTCATGAAAACATTTGTCATGTTAAACAAATCCCCCACTGACCAAAGTCACAATACAGGTTTAGCAAGACCCTCAAGTACCCAGACACTGCATATTGTGCAGCACTAACAGTAAATCCTTACAGCTTGATGGATACAAAAAGTCGTACAGAAACATGCACACTCACTATTTTTCAAAATCAGACACATCTTCGAGAATCTGTTCTGGTCTGATCTGCCGTGACTCTTTCAGTGCTGAGACAGTTCTGTTCCACACAAACGCCAATTCCACATCACTTCTGGAGTTGATCTGTTGCACCAGATATTGCCCTGGAATCACAACTCCATAATGATATTCTCCTTACAACTACATATAGTTGCTACAACTACAAATCGTTCAAATGATATTATCGTTACAACTACAAAATGTTACAACTACAGACCAACTCCGTGGTAGACTCCAGTCGTAGACTCTAGTGGTTGACTCTAGTGGTAGAGCATTTGCCCGGAGAGCGGAAGGTCTGGGGTTCAATCCCTGGCCGCATCATACCAAAAGATGTTAAAAGATGGTACTTGTTGTAGCCCTGTCTGGCGCTCAGCATCAAGGGGCTAAAAAACAAAGACTGGCCGGCTCGGAGACAGTATACCGTGTCTTAGGGGGATATTCATGTTAAACTACAGCAATAATGTTGGATACGACGATAAACCCCATTTCACTTCACAAAAAGTGCAGACAAAAGGGCATTAGGTGGTCAAGATTGGTGACTTCTTGACTCGGTGTCAGTATGTCCCGACATCAGGGGACAGTGCTCGTAATATCAACCACCGGTTTGTCTGGTTCAGACTTGATTATTAGCCTTAGGTGGAACATTCTGACTGTGGTGTCAAATAATAAGCAAACAAAAACAAGTAACAAACTTGTTTATTAAATAAAAAATACCTGCCTATAATAGTTTTTGCCTTTGTTTGTTGTTAAAAGCCGCACTCAGCAATATTCCAGTCATATGACGGCGGTCTGTAAATAATCGAGTCTGGACCAGACAATCCAGTGATTGACATCATGAGCCTCATTCCACAGAATTGATACGATGACATGCACCAATCAAGTCTGACAACCCAATCCTGTTAGTCACCTCTTTCGATAAGCATAGTCGCCTCTCACGACAAGCATGAGTTGCTGAAGACCTATTCTCTACCGGGATCTTCATGGGTCACCTGCCCATAAAAAATAATGTAAAATATGTTTATTACAGTCACATTCACACATATTAAAGATATATGGTCAAGCTGCTACCTGCAAATTGGACAGGAAGGATAAACAGTTAAAGTCATAGCTTTGAATGACATTGCAATTGATTTTGTTATTTCATTAAAGCTGTACATTCCATCTTTTTATTCAAACTTGATAATCATAAACATTTAAGTTGTTTGATTGGTCATTTTACAATGAACAACTGACATAGTATTTTTCTAATTTGATGACATTTTCAGAAACCATATGGTGGCATTTTGGCATGGGGCAGTTTTAAGAAGATCCCTTATTTGTCTCCCACGTAATATAATCCCTTATATCTTATGAGAGATTTGAAAAAAAGTTCAGAGAGAATATCTCAAATTCTTAAACAAAAGTGAACCCTACTTGTCAATTAAATGGTTTGTTTGTTTCTTTACTCATCTATGAAAAATGATAAATGTAACAATTATGTGAGAAACTATCGAATGACAGACCAAACAAGCAGTCAAAGGGAGGTAATTCAAATGTGTTACTACATAATTGCCTCCCTTAGACCATCTTTGCAAATGACAAAGTTTTACGGCTTTCATTACACTGTGTAAATAGTTGGTGAATGTAATAATGATATTATTAAAGATTAGCGTGTGATGTTATCTCGTGGGCATATGTTATGGAAGGGAGAAACCATTCTGTATCTACGCCTCTCTAATGTTTTTTTTTCAAACACATTTCGTCTCGACAAGCTGATCTAATTTGGATTGGTGGCTTAATATTTGCTGACAGCTCTCTATCTTTGGTTCAGTCCTTAATGCGTATTTAAGGTCTACGATACATACCTAGATGACCATAACCGATTATTCCAACACGTCTGACCATGGCGCTATTATTAAGATCGCGAGAAGGTGGCACAAACGTGCCGGAACTCAAAAACGAGCTTGTAATACTAGCATATTACAAAAGACGAATCGGAGAAAAACAACCTTCATTTGTCTACATCTCCGGGACCTACTTAAGTCTAGATTCGGATTTAAATGTATCTGCATTTGCACCAATATTGATAAATCACATTTGATATTAATGTCGTGTTTTCCGTTTCCAGATTAAATATCCCTTTATTTTTTTAAATTGCTAGCTCACGTCATATCCTACTTCCGGTCTGTAACCAAGGCTACATACACACGGCCATAGTCGCTGTTTTGGTTGTGATTGCTGACCATAATTTGTTTGATTAAACGCAGAGGCAGGTAACATGAATATCTTGATCTTAATTCACCAACAATGCGTAGATTACCCATCTTGCAGTGATTGTTGACGTTGTTGAACGCAGAGTGGAAGCGTGTGATTTTAATTGACATGGATTTTTTCTTAATAAGCTTTCACTTGCACTTCAGTCTTGACAGAAAGAATGTTTTGATGACTAGCATTTTTAAATGTTTTGATACAAAAGGCACGCATGAATTTTGATTACAGTTAAAGTGTAGTGTAGAATATATGGTTCAAGTACCAATACATGTTGGACTAGCGTGTAAAATAGGCTGTGTCTTGTGTGAGTTTCAGAAAATGTTTATTAGGCCTAATTAAGATAAACTATTGTTGAATTCCGCCATTAGCCCAGACTATCAATGGGGTAAATACATAGTGTAATGTAGGGCTGTTGGAAATTTTCCCAGATTTATTGCTAAAAAAAAATGATCGAAAAAGAAGCAGTGTTTCAGATTGCTTCATTTTCTTGGACAATCTTCTGGTTAATCAAATTGTTTGAATGATTTGATTTAATAATGTGAGGAATACAAAATGGAAAATCTATCTTTACGAATTAGAGTCCAACAATACAATTTCTGGAATTGGTCTTATTATATATTAGTGCATTGGTTTGTAAATTGAGATATGTTAGATGTTAAAAATAAACTGTTTATTGTATACAGGATCTAACATCACATAAGTATGCCAGCTAAGAAGAAGAAGAAGTCAGGCAAACTTGCCAAAATGACAGAGGAAGAACGGATTGCGTATGAGGATCAGAAGCGCCTGGCTGAGGAAGAGATGAGGAAAAAGAAAGAGGACATGTTGGCTCAATTCATGAAAGTATGTATTCAATCATATGCAACAAAATGAAATGAATGTTATTCTTTTTGTCTGCTGCAAGATCTCCCAAGACAGTGTATAACAAGTGAATGTAAATATGGAGTGATGTGGTACCATTTATCTGAAAACATCAACTCATTTTTCATTCAAGTAACACAACACTTTATGAGGGCAATATTTTCAGTGTGCCTCATTGACACAATGATTTTCAGGCTAAGAGCAGTCGTTAAAGATATAAAAAATAGGACATGTGCCTTTTCTTGTCATGTGACCTGAGCAAATTGAGATTTTGAAAATTATTTTTTTCTTTTTTTTCAAGTCACTATGAGATAAACATTTTATTTAACCAAAAGTATATACTATAAGCTGATTGTGTTACCATATGCTAAAATATCTTATAATAGGAATATAAACTGTATAATGCAAGACTTGGGTAGACTGGAGTATTTGGGTCCCCACTTCGGAAGGAACGTTTTTACGTGTTTACGGAAGTTGTCGAATGAAAAACGTTCCACGCATGCACAGTTCGTTATTTACGGTCGAAGCAAGAGGATTTGTTGGCCGCCATTTTTCTACCGAACGCTGTCTGCAGTTCAGTATTTTCTTAAACAGACAACACACGGGGGGTACAAGGGGGGTTTGTCCCCCCTTGTCGAAATATTAAAGTAAAAATGGGGGTTAAAGGGGGGTTACAACCCCTTTTTTTCAAATAAATCGCACGAGGGTAAGTTCATTCTGTTACTTATACAATATATTTTGTTGGGCGGACAACACAGCGGGGTTCAAGGCAGGTACACCCCCATCTTTATGACATTTTTAAAGAAAAATAAGGGGGGTAAATAAATCAAATAAATCGCAATATGGTATAACTTCATTCATGAAAGCATGTGAATTTTCATAGGAAAATGATCATCGATAGATACTTTCTCATTCAAACAAATCATTTGAAACGTTGAATTCGTTTTGACTGTCATATAGATTCTAGGACCTAAGTCAGTGGATCCATCTAGACCTAGTTCCATTTCTTTTTCTGCTTCTTTTTCATCTTTTTCTTAAACGATCATTTTGCTTCCTAAGTTTAATAATGTAAACACGGCCGGTGAACTTAGAAACTGATCAATTGAACAACTGAAATATTTCTTTTCTGATAATGTTTTGAACAAAATAATTGTCATACATTCCCGCATTCGCCCCATACCTATGCAAAGATGTCTTCACTGTACGCCAAGTCGACTCTGTTTTATTTGTACAAGCCACAGTTTATGAATTTACAAGTTATGAGCGAAGTTGCTTTCGTAGTAACGAGTCCATATAAGGAAAGTCACATGATCAGACACGTGACGTCTTACGTCATTTATGTCCCGCCCACAAACAACAAGAAGTTGACAGTACAATAATTCGGCTTCACTTTTTATCGTAAAACTCTCAACCCCAACAGGGGCGGAGTTTTAGACCATACTTTTCACGTCCAGCTCATTTTTGGGGTCCTTTTTGGGGTCCGAAATGCCTCCTAACGGATTTCGGCACGCTTGCGCGTGCGCGCTTATATATAAGTGAAGCTGCCTTCGGCAACTTCCGTACTGAAACTGCCGAAGGCAGCGGTTGCCTTACGGAAACCCCCGAAGCGGGGACCCAAATACTGCAGTTGACCCCAAGACTTTGCCTAATACAATTTTTTTCTTTCCTAATATAAGACATTTTTGATACAGAAATCCACAGGGGTAATGATCTATTTAACATAAGTATAATGTCATATTGAGAATAATCAATGTCTGAGACATATAATCTTATGAACTGAAGAAATGTATGAAAAAAATGCTATAGTGAACTGCCTCATCTATTGCACCAGTTAATATACAGTTAGGCTTATTGACAGAAACACACATAGGGATGCCCCTGTCTGAACTGATTGTGGACTTTAGGCCAAAGTAGCAACTAGACATTGCATTGGTGTATGTTGCTTATTAGAATGTAATCCCTGAAAGGCAACATCATTTGCATTTTTATCTGATTGTGATACCAAGTTTACTGGATTGTTCTGTCTCATCAGTAACACCATCTTCCCAAAGCAAGGGAGTTAACTGACTGCAAAAGTCCAGGTTCCACCCTTGCCAAACTAGGTGGGAAGTTCTGGGCTCGATCGTAACGCCACCAGTGGCTAATATGAGTGATGTCCCTTCTATGTCCTTCCTATTGACCAATCAGATTCCACCTCTCATATCACTTGCAATAACGCCATCTATTAAATTAGAAAAGCCAAATTTCCTCTCTGTCTTTTCAAATAACAGGAGTTGTTTACTTTGCGGGAAATGTTTACTTTACAGGGAGTGTCTGCTTTGTAGGGAATGTTTACTTTGAAAACTATCAACTCATTGTTCTCCATTTTTCCAGGATAAGCTTACGAAAGAGGAGAAAGCAAGCAAGTTCAACTTGAACAAACTGAACCATCAATGGAGAAACATCATGAGAGAGGCAAAGTCTAGAGAACTGAAGAAAGATATTGAGATTCTCAGCCAGACATTTGAGCGGGTTGTGGATCGGAAGGATGCTGTCATCAAATCTTTGGCCAAGGACATCATGGAGGCCGAGGAACAGTACTCCATGGCACTCCGCAGCCACCTGCAGAATGTCGACAACTTGATAGGTAGGGCAAGCTGACATGATTCTCATTCGGTTTATATCACTCGTCGTGTCACTTCAATCTCTCTGTCTCACTCCCTCTCTCCACATCACACACCCCTTCCATTGCACTCACTCTCTCTCATTCTCTCTCTCTCTCTCTCTCTCTCTCTCTCTCTCTCTCTCTCTCTCTCTTCTGGTGTCCCCCACCTAGATATTGCTGGAATAGCGGCATAAAACCATACTCCCTTTCTCGCTCTCTCTCTCCCCGTCTCACTCACTCACTCTCTCCATTTAACATGCTCTCACCATCATGCTTCCTCTCTCCATCTAATTCCCCCCTAACACTGTCTCTATCTCCATTTAACATACTCACTCTCCGTCACACTAATTCTCTCCGTCATACTCACTCTCTCCGTAACACTCACTCTCTCCATTTAACATTCTCTCTCCATCATGTTCCCTTTCTCCATCTCTCTCTCTGTGTCTCACTTCGTCTCACTCAGTCTCTCCTGTGTGCAGGCCTACAGCGCCAGAGGCTGGGGAAGGCCAAGCATGAGTACACGGAGGAGTTGGACATCATCATGGAGGAGTTTGACAGCGAGCGGGAGATGCTGGTGGAGCAGCACACGCAGGAGATGACCGATATTGATGACATCCTCTTCGCAATGGACCAGAACTTCCAGGAGGCTGAGAATGAGGCCAAGTCCGAGTTTCAGAGCATGCGGGACGAAATAAAAAACAAGGTCAGAGAAATGTACAACTTGTCTTAGTTTCATATCCGTGAGACTTCAGGTTAGGATTGGTCTCCAGCAACCCATGCTTGTCGTACAAGACAACTCTGGTTGGGTTATCAGGCTCAGTGACTTGGTTGATTGTGTGTCATCGCATCCTGACACTGTGGGTTGTTGCTCATAACATCAGTCACTGGTTTGTCTGGTCCAGACTTTTTTCGCACGCCGCCATCATATTACCGAAATATTGCTGAGTGTGAAATATACAGATATTTTTTTATCTGCTGAAACAAACAAGACTCAGGAAAGGCTTGGCCTTTGTAGATAATAGATTTATCTCTGCCTTTTGTGTAATGCATGAATGATAGTCATTCTCATTCTATGACATGCCCATCTGTGTGATCTAGTGGCTAGAGCATCTACTTAGAGAGCAGAAGGCTGGTGGTTTGATCTCTGGCAGCGTCATACCAAAAGATGTTAAAAGATGTTACTTGTTGTTACCCTGCCTGCCACTCTGCATTAAGGGGATAAAACAAGTACTTGAATCTCACAGACTCTTAGTCTTATATTGCTGTATTTCATTGATTCCATTTCAGAACTTAGAAGAAAAGCATGCCCTGCGTGTTGTGTTGGAGTCTAAGGTGGATGACTTGTGGCAGCAGTTCAGGCAGGCCTTACAGAACTACAATGAGACCACTGAAGAACGCAAGACAGCATTCGAAACTCTCAAAGCCAAGGATGAAAAGAGTGCCCGGGAGATTGAGCTGCAGATGAGGAAGCTGCAGAGAATCTCGGTGAGTTGAAAAGTCAGTGTGCAGGAAGGTGGAATTGTTAGGGATGGCTGAAGAAGATTATTTACATTCGGTATGCACCATTGTTCAACAGCTTACAGAAAATGTTAATAGGTTGATAGTGATAGCAATCATGGCCATTCACGTCATTCTCTCATGACCATGGTGCCGTTGTCCAGAACAACCTTACTGCTACGATTGTTGTAAGTCTATGTTAGGGTATGGGAGTCACGATCACCTTAGCGCTAAGATCACTTTGTACAACCACCAGGTCATCAAATAGTCAACTTGTGATACGACGTCCGCCTTTGCTTTATTCGTTAATAGGGGCTGTTGGGGTAGCCTTGTGGTTAAAGCGTTTGCTCGTCATGCCAACGACCCTGGTTCGATTCCCCACATGGGTACGACCGCCTCCCTGGTCCAGTGGTAGAGCGTCCACCCGGAGAGCGGAAGGTTCGGGTTCGATCCCCGACCTCGTCATACCAAAAGAAGTTAAAAGATGGTACTTGTTCTTACCCTGTCTGGCGCTCTGCATTAAGGGGCTAAAACAAGGACTGTTCGGCTCGGAGTCCGTTAACATTCATGTTAAACTGCGGCATGGTATCTCAGTGAGCTAGTACTATAAATCGGCATCAGTCCGGACTAGTACAAGCAGCCACACAAACACACAGACGTACATGCACGTCGCTATATAAGTGTAATAATCTTGGACGCGACGTTAAACCCCATTTCACCTCACCCCACATGGGTACAATGTGTGAAGCCCATTCTGGTGTAACCTGCCATGATATGGCTGGAATATTGCCACATCTTCACAAGGTGGACAGTTGCCAAATCACTCAGCATGTCAATCATAAGCAATGGACCCTTGTTTAGGTTCCTTTTGTGTCTTTTGATTACCTGGCTTCTAACAGAGTAACACTCATGTATTTCAGGACCAGATATCCGGGCTGAAAGGCAAGATGTCCTCCAATTCCAAAGAATGTGAGGAGAGAAACAGATCGTTGAAAGAGGTAGGTACTCGACTTTTCATTCAAGGAATGGGAGATTCTTCTGTGAAGGTACTTTGGAATGTGAAATGGTAACTTATTGGTTACAGCTCGTCTGTTATGTTGGTTTTATTAATAAAACCCGACCAGCTCTTGTTCTACAGATGCAGTGTTCAACATTAGGCTAAAAAAAATAATTCTTGGTTCACAGGTACTGCCGCATCATCATAAAGTCTGCCGCACGTTTCGTTTTTATTTCCATTTTCAAAAAAAATCAATCCTTATATGTTCTGCATCTCGAACACACGACCTCAACTGTGAAATGCTACAATACTTAAAAACAATGCGATCCAATATCCAGTTACTTCCCTATTCATGCGCACTGCTTTACTGTGCATCTCGTGTGTTATGGTCATGGCGGCAATAGGTGTTTGTGTGCTTGCTTTGCTGTTTGCAAATTTGGTCAATGAAAACATTAAATTTGCAATACAACATCACTAGACATGATGATGGTATTCAAATACAAATTCAAAGGTATTTGTGTTCTGTATGAGGGACAATGCGGAGGTTATTTGTCTCGTAAAATAAGCGGGAAATGGATGCTAATTAATATGCCCCGGCTATAAAGCGAATCGGACTATAGCACATCACTAGTGCATACAAAATCTCTACATTTGCAATAAAAATGTGTTTGTCTTCCGCAGAAAAAAAAAATTACATCGTAGCCCTTCAGCGAAATTCAGGGAATTGCAAAAACTAAATGTTGGCATATAATAGTCAAACTACAACAAGTATGACTTTCAGCGATTCAATGTTTGGCATTTATGATATATATATCCATTCTCTATCCACTAAAGTTCGTTTCAAGGCATCAATAGCGGTAATATGACAGTGGTTGCTGTAAATAACGGTGAGTTGTGCGATCTTCCGATCACTTCACAAACGATTTTGCCGAAATGAATTGAAACAATATTGAATGAAATGTTGAATAAAATTATTAAATAGATTACCAACATAAGTCCAGATATATTATGATCTCTCTCTACAACCAGACAGTGTAATTACATGATTAATTTGAGCATTTAAGTACGGATTTGTTGACATGGTATTTCCGGTGTGTTCTGTGCCCACAGTAATGTCTATATGTGTTGTGGAAAACCCCCCATTAAATACTCAACCCTGTGTATAAGACGCTCCCCCCCCCACACACACTCACACATACATTTAAAGCCTCCTAATTCTAGTTATGAAAAACTCGCCTTATACACAGCGATATATGGATTTGGATTCCTACTAGTGTGTACACAAGCAAAAAAAATTAGAATTCAGGGGGTTTCCAGATACAAGTATTATAGGGTAAAACCTCAAGAACCAAAGGACCTCTTTTAATGTCTTGCTATGCACAAAGCATTTAAACATGGGAGTAGTTGTGTAACGATACGGCGATACAGTATTGTTACCTGATACAAGCCCACTATGCAATACATCTATTTACAGGGTTTTACCTTGACTTACAAAAGTCAATCAAAGACTGGGCAGGAGTTGTGTATGTTTTTGTAGGTAAAAGAAACTGGCAGGAGATGGTGGTTTGGGTCATTATGGAGGAAAGGTCAAGGAAAGGCTAGACAGCCCGGGGTAGAATAGGTCTTCAGCAACCAATACTTGCCTAAAAGGCGACTATGCTTGTCGTAAAAGGCGACTAACGGGATCGGGTGGTCAGGCTCGCTGACTTGGTTGATACATGTCATCGATCCCAATTGCGTGGATCGATGTTCATGATATTAATCACTGGATTGTCTGGTCCAGACTCGATTATTTACAGACCGCCGTCATATAGCTGGAATATTGCTGAGTGCGGCGTTAAACAACAAACCAACCAACCAACCAAAGCCCTTTTGTGGTCATTTCAAGATCCTGTACATAAGTCAGTCTGGATTCACTGAAGACATGTTGTGTTGTTGCAGGAGAGGGAGCGGATGCTGGCTCACTTCCAGGATCTCAAGGCCCAGATGAACAAGCTGAGGGATGCTGAGAGGGACAAGCTCACGAAGCTGACACTGGAGAGTAACGCCGCCATCAAGGAAATCAAGAGGCAGAAGGAAAAGGTAAAAACCACACTCCAAACAGGAATTCTTCAATGTGATTACCAAACTTGAGAATTAACATGATAGTCATTTTAGCCCTAGGGGGATTCTAGGTTAGAATTGGTCCCCAGTTGTAAGGCGTCTTACTGGATCGGGTAAGTATCGACTTTATTTATTGTGGATAGGTCTTCATAATGTCGGTCACATGATTGTCAGTCAAGACTGGATTATTTACAGGCTGCTGTCAAATAGCTGGTATAATGCTGAGTGTGGTGTTGAACAAAAAACAATCAAACAATTAAGTTGTCTGAAGCATGTACTTGCCCAGATGAATATAAACCGTATTTTGTTGTATTCTTGAAACTTGGGAAGGGATGCTTCTATTCTTGGTTGTCATGCTAATTTACCAAAGGCTGCAAAACGCAGCTTTGAACTCATTATTGTACAGGAAGTTCTATCGAGTTTTCAATGAGAGGGAACTAGCCAGCAGGTTTAACTGACCATGTCTGCATACCACTTACCCTTTGAAAATGTTCTTGACCAGGGGCCATCATGCTAGAGTTGACCTCCTGTGTGTGATGTTATACACTGACCCCTGTCTGAACTACTGGCCTGTGTGTGATCTAATATTCTGACCCCTGTCTGAACTACTGGCCTGTGTGTGATGTAATATTCTTACCCCTGTCTGAACTACTGGCCTGTGTGTGATGTCATACACTGACCCCTGTCTGAACTACTGGCCAGTGTGTGATGTCATACACGTACCCCTGTCTGAACTACTGACCAGTGTGTGATGTCATACACTGACCCCAGTCTAACCAACTGGCCATGTCTGACCTGTGTGTGATGTCGTATTCTGACCCCTGTCTAACCAACTGTCTGACCTGTATGTGCTGTTGCAGGCAGAGCAGATCATGCGGCTGGCGGAGATGTGTCGGAAGGTGGAGACAGAAGAGGAGAAGGTTCTGCCATTCTATGCATCCTCTCTGACTGCGGAGGAGATTGAGGATGTAGATGCAGCCATCTTGGAGCCACCTTCAGAGCCTCTTGCACTGGTAAGTTGTTCCATACAGGTGTCTCTCCATCAGACATGTGAACTGCTTATTAGGTTGATGTACTTGGACAGGAGGAAAGTAGCATACACAAAAGGATGGAGATGTGGCTGTGGACTTGTGGGCTGTTGTGTCATACCTGTGATATTTCTGTATGGGGTGGTGGGATAGCCTAGTGGTGAAATCGTTTGCTCGTCCTGAAGACCCGGGTTCGATTCCCGACATTGGTACAATGTGTGAAGCCCATTTCTGGTGTCCCCCGCCATGATATTACAGGAATATTGCTAAAAGCGGGATAAAACCATACTCACTCAATCACTGATTCCCCAAAAGAACACTGAAAAGGGATCTTGACTGATAATTGTTTCTTGTACTGGTTCAAGATTCTTACTGTCTAACCAATAGTTTACAGAATTTCTGTGTAAGTTTACTGATTTTTTTTATTTAGGTGATCCACGAATACTCTTCTCTGGAGAACTTCTGGAAGCGTCACAACAAGGTGCTGCTGGATAAACTTGCCCTTGATAAGGAGAAACAGACTCTTGTCCAGGAGAACCAACAGCTCCGTACTCTTCTCAAGCAGTACCTGGACGGCATCTCCGTCAACGATGAGATCCTGTCTCAAGTCAACCCACTGTTTATTGTCAACAACAAGACCAATGTCAAGTGAGTTTGCCTCTTGAATTTTGGGGGAATATGATTTGTTGAGAATTTTGTTTCATCACACATCCTTTCATTAAAGATGCACTTTGAGCTTTCCTCACACATCAAGCTGACAATATGACTGAAATACTGTTCAAAGCGGCGTGAACCCAAACTCACTTACTCAGTAGATGAGCAATGCAAGTTTCATTCAATTTGGGCAGGAGAGAAAAAGGATGTACCCATAGAGGCAATTATACCCGTGCTATTATCTCAGTAATTTTCACTCAGCATCATGAATTGTCAAGTCTTTGAAAGGCATTTAGAAGTGATACACATGAGGAGGAGAATTTATTGATGTCAACTTCTTTATTATATGTGTCAACTTCTTTATTATGAGGAACTCAGTGTTTTGAAGTATATACTTACCAGTTGATTCCAGTTGTTCCTCATAATAAAGAAGTTGACATCCATAAATTCTCCTCCGTATCATGAATTGTGTTTTGTGCTGAGTTCATGCCAATTGTTCCATTGTTTTCATTGCTTGCGAAGCAGCCCCAGATACACGTCTCCATGGGTCTCCATATCAATGCATTGAGACTAATATTTAAAGATAAGGTCATCCATTGTTCATGAGATGACAGACAGTTTTACATGACATTGTTTCAACAGTGGATAGGCTGGGTTGATGTATTCATTTCCATCAGGAAACCCACATTTTTCTACATTTGCTCAGTTGGAAAGACGATGGAAAATGTATGGAAACACCTCCCCACAACTCTGAGTTATGGATTGTGTCCCTCTTGTAATAATGTTGAAATTGTCTTGGCATTTACAAAATTATTTCACTCAAGACAATAGTAATCCCTGTTACCTGTAGGGACCTCAGATTTCTGGCATGGCTAAGTGACACAAATCTCCACTGTAAATTGCTGCACCTTAGACGACTGGGACACTTGTGTCATAGGTTTCTGACATGGGTAAGTGACACAAATCTCCACTGTAAATTGCTGCACCTTAGACGACTGGGACACTTGTGTCATAGGTTTCTGTCATGGGTAAGTGACACAAATCTCCACTGTAAATTGCTGCACCTTAGACGACTGGGACACTTGTGTCATAGTTTTCTGACATGGGTAAGTGACACAAATCTCCACTGTAAATTGCTGCACCTTAGACGACTGGGGCACTTGAATGCCCCCATGCCATGTGGAACTAGATGAGAGAAACATTCAGTTATTTGTTGTTGTTTTTCAGGTTGAACGTCCCAGTTGTTGATCCTCGTGTCAGACGCCCTCCTCCCCAGACTGTCGTGGAAGCAGCTCACATCATCAAACACATCCTTCCTTCATGAATATATGGCCGAGTACATCCATCATTTATTGTTCGCACAGGCATCGGATAGCAACATGGCCCCCACAACTTTCCCAACAGTTACCTCAACACAAACTCAATTTATGCTTACCTACTTAGAGAAGTTTAATCTTTACATATTTCTTTGAATTGAACAATTTTTGGTATTTATTTTGTTTCAGTGGATGTTTCATCAACAAGCCGGTGTTCATTTTAACCTCCAAAACATGGAGTATCATCTCCATTGATGTTGTTTTAATTTATATTCAATTTTAACCACAATTTAATACATGCAGAATTTTTTTTAATGACCATTTTTTAATTGTAAAATGAAGAAATACTATTGGCGTTATATTGTTGTGTAATTGTGCAAGGTTTGTGTGGGGGCCCACATATTGTTTCTTTATTGTCTGTGATATTTGTTATGCTTGTGATGGAGTATACTTGTCTCTATCAAAATGTAAAGTGTTGCATGTAAATTGCTAATAATATATGTAAATACAAACGTGTTGTGTGACAGCTGTTATATTACTGAAATGTATTATGATAAAATTATGAAATTGTAATGTTTTGTAAATGGAAATCAAATTTTGATTCTTAACTTCAAATAAACAGTGATAAATCTATATGCAATCTGTGCTATTGTGACGTTTACAAGAAATAGATGAAAGGCAACCAACTTCTTGGATTCCATCAAACAATCAGCATTCAGACTGACACAAAAGAAACCGCTTGAGGCAGATCTCAAATATTTCTTCTTTGGGGATCAAGCATGGGCGTCTTTGACTCAGCATGATGTATCGTCATGTAGATCATTTGTAATTATGACAGATGTCACCAGACTGACACACTGTCACATTTTGATAAATCATGATACATATGTTAGGTGGTGATCTCAAAACACAACATCTTTTCCAAGCTATATGAAAGTTTTAAGAATAAAGGATATGAGTTAATAGTGTTATAACACTTAAAATTGATTATTAGTCGGTATTCTGTAATGTTTTGAAGTCAGTCTCATGTTTAAATATGTCATCACATTAGACAACCTAAATCAAATCAAGTATCAATAGTCTATATATATATATATATATATATATATATAGCTACAATGTCTACTAAGATATAATCTTCAGCTACTTGGGGGAATATTGTCTGTGGACCTTGCAAAAAACTTTTTAAAAATCCAATTTGAACAAAGTGATTTGTTCACCATTTTTCTGCTAAGGGCACAAAGTTTGAAATCTTAGATACATCCCTGTGATGAATTTGAGATCATCTCAGAACAAGATACAAGCTGTCTGTTGGACATTTGCAATACCTCTCAAAACAACAGATCCACACATTCCATTGTCATACACAATGCTACTTATTAAAAACCTTCCACATGAGTGAGTGAGTGAGTATGGGTTTACGCCGCTTTTAGCAATATTCCAGCAATGTCACGGTGGACACCAGAAATGGGTTTCACACATTGTACCCATGTCGGGAATCGAACCTGGGTTTTTGGCGTGATGAGCGACCTCTTTAACCACTAGGCTACCCGACCACCCCTTCCACATTATATGTATTCTCTGTATGTGCTTAAAATAGAGTGCCTGTCCAGGGAGCAGAAGGTCAGTGTTTCAATCCCCCAGCCCAGTCATACCAAAAGACGTTAAAAATGGTACTTATTGTTATCCTGCCTGGCGCTTGGCATTAAGGGGCTAAAACAAGCACTAGTCGGCTCGGATTCAGTATACTGTGTCCAAGTGGGGTATTCATGTTAAACTGCAGCTTGGTATCGCAGTGGGCTAGCACTAACACACTGGATTATTTCTGGACTAGTGGTGTTAAAAATCAAGGATGGGTCCTAGAAGGGGTCACGAGTGGCCCAGTCGCTGTGCTGAGTTAAAAATTGCGTCCTTGGGCACTCCAGAAACCTATGATTGTGGGTTAGAATGTTTCTAGGTTTGTAAGCACCATACCCTGCTGCTTGTGGGCTACACTGAAGTGGTAAACGTCTGAGACCTGCATCACTTCGACTTTCCGCCCACATTAAGCTGACACACCCTGATATAACTGGAATACTGTTAAAAGCGGCGTTAAACCCAACTCACTCACTCACTCACTCGTACAATTCTCAATCCAGCAATTGAGGGGAAATCAATGAAACCAGGACGCTTTAAGACTTTGGCGGTGGTCCAAGAAAGGTCAAGGTCAAAGTGGAGATTTTACTAATAGAGGAGCACTGTTGTTTCCGTATATCTCACGATGTTACAGTATTAGATTGTGAGTGAGTTGGGATTAAGGCTGCTTTGAACGTTATTTCAGTAATATGTATACGGCCCCCTCGGTATGTCACCGAATGTCAGGGTTTACAATCGCTGGTAATCCCGAGGAGAAATGGTTTGTTCAACGTATAAACCGACTCATCGCATAGACAACGTTTTTAATTAAATGACTGTAATAAAATCTCTCAAATGTATATCGGAGATGAAATATCGCCTGCGGTCGTGAACTCGGTTCAATGAAACCGGTGACCTCAGCACGTGGGTTTCGCAACGGTGCGAAATCTGCACGTGCGTCTCGTAGGCTGTTCGTAGTTTTTGTTCTATCAATGGTTTACAATGATTGTAAGCCCTCCTGCGAGGTGTTACAATCGTTGTTATACCTCCTGCGAGGTGTTACCACAATTTCAAAAACTTCATATCGAGTTACACAAACAGCCAGTAGGTTTATAACACAGGTTATCAACTTAGACGTGAACCACTTTGGTGAATCCCAGACAAAACCTAAAAGCATAACCAGGGCGAGGATTCGAACCCATGATCTAACATTTCTGTCAGGCCAGAACTGGGTCTGGTTATAATGAAAGTTTGGGTTAAGGCTGCAGTGAATAGTAGTTCAATATAGTCACAGCGTATATATAACATAAAGCAGACAACTGAATACCTTGGTTTTAGTTGGTTTAGTTTGGCCAAACATTTCGCTCGTCAGATACCAGAACTTTTAACTTTTTTCATAAAAGGGTATTAAACGGGAGTTCATTAGGTATTTGGTATTCATTACCCATAGGGTTAGAAACATTGAGTTAATAAAACTCGTATCAGTGTATTGTTTACGTCATCAGAACTGCATCGTTGACGTCATTCGAATCGTATTGTAATGATGGTAAGGTCGGAATGACGTCACACTAACAACGACGTTATAGCTGAAGATTGTTGATGTCGTTTAACAATCGTGATTTTCTTAAAGGGTATTCACACGGTACAACTTGTCGTATGCAATTAGTTGCACGAACTGAAGTCATTCTTCCCCGCCCTGTAGGCGGGGAAGTATACGGGAAACGTTAATTTTGTAGCATGTATGTCGACATGTTGGTTTATTTGAAATTTCAAGCCACGCCTTTACGGAAACAAAACATGCAAATCATGTGCGTGGAATGTTGATGCTATTCTTTTCCAGCAATAAGAGATACTTCAAAATCGTCTTTATGTAGTTAATTGATGCATCTGACCGTTTCTGGTCATTATTATTAAACCATTCACGTGTAATCCGATGTCCTTTTTCCCTCAAGGACTAATTTTCTGATTTTCACGATGCATACAAAAGGAGAACTGTACTCCGGAGATCGTAAATAACAGCATAATATAAAATATGTTCTGATTATGCTTATTCATGAACAACGACGACATCTCAATTTAAATGTAATAGGGCTGAATTCCACATTCTACTTACCACACTTTTGATTGCTTGGCTGCTCATGTTCACTGGAAATATTTGGGATAGTTATATTCCGTATTTTGAATTAACCCAGTCCCCCGTGTTTTATTTAATAAGTGCACCGCACATAGCCACATGTGAAACGTTTGGTAGCTAAGTCAAAGCAAAATCGGAATAGTGTGTCGGCGAATTTGCATCAAGGCTGTAGTATTTTTCATTCGTTTAATGGAATTCAATGTACAGCCGTAGCTCTGGTCGCTATCATATATTAGGTGTCCCATGGCTCAAATCTATTTGCGTCTGTACCGTGTTCCACTGATCTGTTGGATGAAGGCACGGCTCTTTGCAGTCACATAGTTAACACCGAAGGCTATGAGGGGTATTTAGGTCATAATCAGTTTTATGGCCCCGTCACAGGTGCTCCAAATATTGAAGCAGGAAATACAAATTTCATAGAATCATTTCAACAAGCAATATTGATATCCCAGTAACTTTTGGTAACTTTTAATGATGTCTCTATTGCAAGGTTTACGGATTATGATTCGTGTGCATTATTTGACTCTCATCAGCGGAATGGTTTGGGTCCGACTCATCCGAATGGACAAGCAGTTTTACTTCTGTTTAGTAGTATGGATGAATTGTTATGTTACATCTTAACAGTATATCAGGCGACTATGCTTGTCGTAAGAGGCGACTAACGGGATCGGGTGGTCAGGCTTTGGTTGATGCATTGCATCGATCCCAATTGCGTGGGATCCATGCTCATGATATTAATCACTGAATTGTCTGGTCCAGACTCGATTATTTACAGAACGCCGTCATATAGCTGGAATATTGCTGAGTCGTTAAACGACAAACCAATCAATCATCATCATATGAACTCAAACCAGTAATTGTTACAAGTAAACCACATCCCACAGCAGTTACTGACACTGGATAAAAAACAGTACATAGAAAAAGACCAAGTAACTCAACTCATCATGATCACACTTACTATTCTTTGAAAGAAAGAAATACAAAAAAGAAACTGACCAAAAAACGTAAAACAAGACACGAGGAATCTCCGTTATTGATTAGTCCCGGTATTGAAATGTTCTCCAACTACGTGATAATATTTTGAGTATGTGCATCTGTGGTTGTGACAAAAAGACCTTATCTAGTATGACTTTTTTGCAATATAGAGCCCTTAGTATTTTCATTTACATTATTATAACCAAATGCTAAGTGTAAAAAGAATTGATCTATTATTTGAGTATGTGCCTCTGCCAATGTTTTTGGCAGTTTTGATACTATTTCAACATGTTTACATTTGTGCCAGAAATTGCTTCCATTTCCTTCGATCTACTTTTTAAATAAACCCATGCTTGCCGTAAGAGGCGACGAACAGGATTGGGTAGTCAGGCTCGCCGATTTGGTCGATGCATAACATCATATTCCAATTGCGTAGTTCGATGCTCTTGGTGTCAATCACTGGATTATCTGGTCCAGACTCACGCCGTCATATTGCTGGAATAAGGCTGAGTGCGGCGTTAAACAAGAAACTATTTTTAAAAAGACCTACCCTATGCACATGTATCAACTGTATTACCCAATACTCAAAATAAATAATATTTTTTTCCACAACAGCGTTGTGTTATTTTTGGTTAATTTAATTATGCTCCTTTATACCTTTCAGTAACATCATAATTATGCGTTTGTGAGGCATCACATATGGCGGGGAACTTTGATGCTCTGCATCAATGTTTTCTTGTTCGGCATTAACACAAGGTTGAGATGGATACACCTCGGATTTCGCGAGATCTCTGACAAAAAGCACGTGATTCACTACGTTAATACCGGAATCCGCGTTAATTTTCAGGCACACAGTTTTGGAAAATTGAACGCTGTGGTCGTGATCGATGCATTATTCTAAAGGGGAGTTTCAAAGGGGTGAAAAAGAATGGGTGGTGCTGGCACTCGCCATTTGGATGACAAGTTATTTTTCTGACACAATTTAAAAAAAAATCTGGGTCAACCTCCGACTGTAAAATGACACAGGGATGAAGAATAATAAATTTCCTATCTGATTGTGTGTGATTAACTGCAAGTATTAAACCGGTTTCAAAAACAGACAGTGATAATTGCTGTCCGATATTTTGTTGCAGGGAAAGGTGCTGTCAGATATTTCGTTATGCCTTAAAAGGAGCACATTTCGCAATCTTTTATCGTACGCTAACTTATTACAGTAGTGTACGATGATTTGTTTATATTTTACAACTTTACGGTAAGAAAATACTGCCTCCTCTCTGAAGGACATACATATACATTAAATGGATTATGCTTGTGTATAACATTGTACATTCGATACGAAAAATAACTTGCCATAAACGAAGAAAATCGATTTTCCTCTTTGACGTTAAAAGAGTGGTGGTGAAATGGTGTTTAACGTCGCGTTTAAGATTATTGCACTTATATAGCGATGTGTGTGTGTGTGTGTGTGTGTGTGTGTGTGTGTGTGTGTGTGTGTGTGGCTGCTTGTACTAGTCCGGACTAATGCCCGATTTATAGTGATAGCCCACTGAGATCTGAGATACCATGCCACAGTTTAACATGAATACCTCACTCAAACACAGTATACTGACTCTGAGCCTACCAGTCCTTGTTTTAGCCCCTTACTGCCAAGCGCCAGACAGGGTAACAACAAGTGCCATCTTTTAACGTCTTTTGGTATGACGCGGACGGGGATCGAGCCCCGAACCTTCCACTCTCTGAGCGGACACTCTACCACAAGACCACGGAGGCGGTCTATAGCGTTTGAAACCAGGCCCACTAAGATACACCGAGCCGACCAGTCCTTGATTTAGCCCTTTAATGCGGGGCGCCAGACAGGGTAACAACAAGAACAATCTTTTAACGTCTCTTGGTGTGACATTGCCGGATATCGAACCACCGACCTCCTGTCTCCGGGCAGACGCCTTATCCACTCGGGTCACACAAGCAAAGCAACGTCCACCTAGATGGCGATCAGTAATTAACCCAAGAGTGAATATTCAACGGCTTGGAAAAATGGATTGTTGTTTTCGGGAAAGGATTCATTGCTGTTATTCATCAACATTAAAGTCAAATCACATCCCTACAGCTGCATGTTGTATTGCCTAGGGACAGAGCAAAGATAGTTAAGCTGTTGTGACTGGTTTGTCATTCTGGGGAAAAAGGCATTTATGTACTATTTTGACAAATGGAAAATGCCCGAGGTCAAAGGAATGTGTGAAGGTGTTATCTCATGACGGATAGGTTTTATTAATGCGACCAGGCTTATGCGTTTCCAAACTGGTCTACCGAATAGGTACCAAATTGATTAAAACGGCAACAGATTTCGTTGCCGAAACGGCACCATATATATTTTTCCTTATATTGACTCTGCAGAGATTTCTAATGGAAAGGGTTTTGTCGTTTTTATTTACTTGTATATTAAGGATCGATCGCGGGCATTGCTAGTTCCTTTTTTGTTGCTGCGTGGTCTGTTCATGTGAGCTGATCATGCGAGGTTCTACTGGTCTATATTTATTGATAGAAAATACCACAAGAAAAGTTCGAAGATACGATGCCATTTTGGCCAAGACGATGTGCCATTTTGGCCAAGACGATGTTCCATTTTGGCTTGGACGATGTGACATTTTGGCCACGACGATGTGCCATTTTGGCCAATCTTCTGACGTCGTTTGGTGTCTTTTTGACGTGGTTCTGTCTAACGTGGTACCGTTATAGTTATAACTCGTTATAACGGCGTCCGTTTCTGTCGGTATCATAACACATGGCAGCCAGGGTAGGATTGTATCGTCTTGAGGTAAAACAGTCATTTGTCGTCATTACCTTGCTTCTGCAGCACTGTATGCATTCAATCACTAGTTTGTCTGGTCCAGATATGGAGTCTGTTTTTCAATATTTTGATATTTCACTTACTGTTATCGTAACCTTTTGCAAATTATCACGATTTGTCATACAAATGTGTGATTAATCATGTATAAAGAAGATATTGAATCGCTGAAAAGTGAAGCGAAAATGTCAAAAACTAATTATAAAATGCAAATGTAAAAAAAATATTTCCATCGCGGTGTAAATAGTTTTCTGTATTTTCATTTTAGTTTTTGACATTTTCGCTTTTGTTTTTGACATTTTCGTTTTTGTTTTTGACATTTTCATTTTAGTTTTTGACATTTTCGCTTCACATTTCAGCGATTCAATAGCTACTTGAAAGTATATTTTCCATGTTTTCGGTTGTTTTTATACATGATTTATCACATATTTGTATGACAAATTGTGTTAATTTGCAAAAGCTTATGATAAAAGTAAGTGAAATATCAAAATATTGAAAAGCAGACTCCATGTCCCTTATGGGCCACCGTATGTAACAGTTATTATCTTGAAATTACAACAGGGTATCGTGAATTCCAAGAAAGTAACTTGAAGTTCTAAATTAGCATCTTGATGTTTCAAGAAAGAAAATGTATGATATGACCCTAGCAGGCTTCCGTATCCAACCGCATGACATGGTTAAGCACTGATCACGTGTGTCGAATAAATCCAAGCCTGAATGCATATTTCGCTTCTTAATCTGCAAACATAATGTACTGCCGCTTCGAGACGCATTCTTCACACATTGAAACATGACGCCACGGAAACAATCGTCCCTCACAAATTAGTGAGTGAGTGAGTTTGGTTTTACGCCGCTTTTAGCAATATTCCAGCAATATCACGGCGAGGGACACCAGATATGGGCTTCACACATTGTACCCGTGTCGGGAATCGAACCCGGGTCTTTAACCACTGGGCTACCCGACCGCCTCTTGTCCCTCACAAAGGCAAGGACAAAGATGTGATACATGTGATCTGTCAGAAGTAGAAGATCAATTCCATTTTGTTCTAATTTGGCCATATTTCTCACAACAACGGCCTGTTTATAAAAACGGATCCTATCACTTAAATCCTTAATGTATACAGTTATTGTCATAAAAATTAAAATCACGAAGTCATTAAGCAAATATTTCTATGAATAACTAAAACTCAGAGTGAGTGAGTGAGTTGGGTTTAACGCCGCTTTTAACAGTATTCAAGTCATATCGCGGCGTGTCTAAAACTCAGAAAAAGACTTTCCTTAAAATACATCATTTTTCTCCACTTGTTCATCCTCGCCACCTTCCTATGTAAGGTCGTAAGAGGCGACTAACGGGATCGGTTGGTCAGCCTCGCTGACTTGGCTGAAGCATGTCATCGACCCCTATCGCGTTGATCGATGCTCATGATATCAATCACTGAATTGTCTGGTCCAGACTCGATTATTTACAGACCGCCGTCATATAGCTAGAATATTGCTGAGTGCGGCGTAAAGCAACAAATCAACCAACTACAATAACCAACCAACTACAATTTGTGTAGTGCCCAAAGACTTGGTCTGTGCTAATACAAGTTTCGGCCTGCTGTTAGCAAATGCCAAGGCCACGTTAAATAACATTTCAAACAACACACCATTCAGACTTTGCGCAAACGGACAAAGCGAAGATACAAGTCAACTTGTTGTACCACATTCACCGCTGCTTTCTACGCTCACATGGATATTTTCTAATTATAACACATTATAAATGTACAACATCTTATTGTTCAGTTCGGTGAAACAGTTATGGCTGTCTCGTTGGTGTATTTTACATACATCCTATACCCACCAACAAGTATTGAGGAGAAATTGTTTCGTGCTGCAACTTCTGCTATGGAAGTAATTATGTGCTCAACACACTTCTGATTGACATGCATAACCTGAAATTTGTTATATTTGATCCAAAGCTGAAGCTACATTATGGTTTTCAACACTTATGTCGCTTGGGGACCTGGGCCCGTTCCACAAAGCGATCGTAGCACTAAGACGATCTTAACTCCCATACTTTAACATAGACTTACGACAATCGTAGCGCTACAATCGCTTTGTGGAACGGGACCCATGGCCGGTGTCCTGCACTCGACACAGAGGCAAAGACCCGGATGTTGAGTAAACCCGGATGTTGAGTAATCAATCAACATCCGGGAAGACAATAGCATGTATAGTACATGCGGGTAAAAAATATTATCAGTTTGTGTGACTACCGTTTTGTTATTCTGATTGGTTTGTGTGTTTTCTCGAGTAGCATTGATCGATTGGGAGTCGTTTTTGAGGTTACGAAAACGGTGGAGATGTGTCGCTCAGGTGCCTAGATCTTTGATCATTGTGATTCTTTGTGTTCGATTACACCATTCGAGCTGATTACTGTCCTTGTTTGGTCAGCACCATGCTGAAAGACGATCTACGATCTGCTCCACCTTTGATTTACCTCCACATTAAGCTGACACGACACATTATAGCAATGTTATACAAGGCATCGCCAATTCCTCAGGGATCTGCATACACAACGACCCGTTCCTAGCTCTCGCAAGCTTGTTCAGTTGGTTAATTAGCGACTTCACCAAATAGTCGCCGTATTTGAGGATTGGGGATCGTTGTGTTCCCAAACCCGTGAATTGTTGACGATGTTAAGTTGGTAAACAATTACAGAATGTCAACTCGTCTTACATTAACATAATCACTCCAGTATCGCCAAATTGTTATCGTCTTGATGATGTTCGAACAAACGGTATCACACAGATTTCCATGAAGGGGAGATTCTGTTAGAGGTTTAATCAACAACAGTTTACAAACAAGTAATTTCATACAGCTGTTTTCGTCTGTGCCTTTGCGCTTCGTATCGCAATCTTCATCTGGAAAAAATAACAATGGAACCATCTGTACACCAATGTACCAGCGTCAGTTTATGTTGTATACCTTGTATCCGGTCTGACAATCACATCAATGAGGTTTGTAGACGTTCCGACTGGTTAAAGCTTTAAATCTAAATGCAATCTAATTGATCTTTCTAAGGATTGACACAAAACACTTAAGTATGTCATTTTAACCACACAAAGAAACCTTCTATTTAACATGGTATTTTCAGTACATATTATTATGCTTTCTCCAGTACATAAATCTAGTCGTCAATACGTGTTCACAACTACATATATATACAGTCTTCAATACGTGTTCTCAACTACATAAATCTAATCTTCAGTACGTGTTCTCAAGTACATAAATCTAGTCGTCAATACGTGTTCTCAACTACATACATCTAATCTTCAATACGTGGTCTCTACCACAAGAATCCAGTCTTTAAAACGTGTTCTCTATTACATAAATCTAGTCTTCAGCCCTCTTCCCGATGCAAGGGAGTTAACTGACTGTTAGAGTCCAGTCCAGTGGCCATTACGAGTTACGTCCCTTCTATGTCCCTCCTATTGACCAATCTTATTCCACCTCTCATATCACTTGAATTTGCGTCAAACAAAAGGGCGGCGTACAGTCAAGACGATCTGATCGATAATCAAATCTATATTGTGATAAAACGGGTCTTACTTCACGAAGTGCATCAAATCGCGTGTGCAACTTGATAAAAACTATGAAAAGATTTGGAAAATATCTGTTGCAAATACATGCTTTGCAAATCCTGTAATCAACCGAAATCTACACGGCAGTTTACGAACCGGGTGTCGATTTCGTTACGCGATTTTGATTGGACTAAGCATACACTCGTTAATCCAGCCAAAATGGAATTCCATAATTCCAGCCTAGTTCGGCAAGGGTTGAAACTTGACTTTTATAGTCAGTTAATTCCCTTGCCCCGGGAAGATGGTCTTCAGGAATGTAGAATGACTTAAGCAGATTTTTTATTCAGTTACCATGTATAGCTAACACCTAATAAGATAAAACACAATTTTATTTATTTTCAAGTTAAATACTATGTGATAACTACTCACTTGGAGTTTCAGTATCGGGTCCTTCGTCCGAACAAGCTGGGTTGTTGACGGATACCAGTGGCTTGTTGACCGTAACCTGGGAACATTGAAATGCACAGCTACCTTCTGTGGATTAAACTAAACATTCTATATACAAACACATGTGAGTATCGGATGCCGAGATTTGTTTAGAGACATCGCAAATTTAAAAGCCAACTTCTATATATCTTCATATTTCTTATGAAAGATGTGTCTGGCATCCGGGGGTACTTGTGGCCCGGTCATCTAAGGCACGCAATTCGCTGTGCAGAGTTTTGGGAACACCACATACCTATGACCGCGTGTTGGAATCCCCGGTCGCATGTTGTTCTGCATGTAATTGCTGTGATTTTTTTTATGTCAACAGTACTGTCGTCGGTTTCAATGTCAATAGTACAACCCTTGGTTTCATGTCAATAGTGCAACCGCCGGTTTCATGTCGACACTACTATTGACGGTTTCATGTCAATAGTGCAACCGCCGGTTTCATGTCAACACTACCATTGGCGGTTTCATGTCAATAGTGCAACCGCCGGTTTCATGTCAACACTACCATTGGCGGTTTCATGTCAATAGTGCAACCGCCGGTTTCATGTCGACACTACCATTGACGGTTTCATGTCAATAGTGCAACTGCCGGTTTCATGTCAACACTACCGTTGGCGGTTAAATGTCAAAAGCGGAACCGTGGGTTTCATGTCAATAGTGCAACCGTCGGTTTCGTGTCGACACTACTATTGACGGTTTCATGTCCATAGTGCAAGCGCCGGTTTCATGTCAACACTACCATTGGCGGTTTCATGTCAATAGTGCAACCGCCGGTTTCATGTCGACACTACCATTGGCGGTTTCATGTCAATAGTGCAACCGCCGGTTTCATGTCGACACTACAATTGACGGTTTCATGTCAATAGTGCAACCGCCGGTTTCATGTCAACACTACCATTGGCGGTTTCATGTCAAAAGCGCAACCGTGGGTTTCATGTCAAGAGTGCAACCGCCGGTTTCATGTCAACACTACCATTGCCGGTTTCATGTCAATAGTGCAACCGCCGGTTTCATGTCAACACTACCATTGGCGGTTTCATGTCAATAGTGCAACCGCCGGTTTCATGTCAACACTACCATTGGCGGTTTCATGTCAAAAGCGCAACCGTGGGTTTCATGTCAATAGTGCAACCGCCGGTTTCATGTCAACACTACCATTCGCGGTTTCATGTCAATAGCGCAACCGTGGGTTTCATGTCACTAGTACAACCAATGGTTTCATGTCAACACTACTATTGGCGGTTTCATGTCAAGAGTGCAACCGCCGGTTTCATGTCAACACTACCATTGGCGGTTTCATGTCAATAGCGCAACCGTGGGTTTCATGTCTATAGTTCAACCGTGGGTTTCATGTATCTAGTACAACCAATGGTTTCATGTCAACACTACTATTGACGGTTTCATGTCAATAGCGCATCCGTCGGTTTCATGTCAACACTACCATTGACGGTTTTATGTCAATAGTGCAACCGTGGGTTTCATGTCAATAGTTCAACCGTGGGTTTCATGTCACTAGTACAACCAATGGTTTCATGTCAACACTACTATTGACGGTTTCATGTCAAGAGTGCAACCGTCGGTTTCATGTCAATAGTGCAACCGTGGGTCTCATGTCAATAGTACAACATGACGCCGATTTGAACAATATTCCAGTAATGTCAGGCCGCGTCAGTTTGATATGGGAAGAAAACCCGAAGTGATGCAAATCCTAGACGTATACCACTTTGGGGAAAATCACGAAAATCACTGGTATTGTGCTGACAAACAAAGAAACATAATCATGTCGATTCGAGATTCGAACCCACGATTTACGTCTAAGGGGTCGCAACTTACACAGCGAATAGCGGCACTTAGATGACTGTGTCATCTAACAGGCCGGAAAAATTAACTGAATAGATCGCTCTTCCTACAAGGTTCGTTTCGAATAATAACGATTGTAAATTACTTTCATGGGAGAGGGGACCTGGGTAGCCAAGTCGTTGAAGTCACTGCTATTTGCTGTGCAGAGTTGCGCCCCTTGGACATGCCAGAAACCTATGTTTGTGGGTTCGAATACCCGTTCGCCCCGATTATGTTTCTAGGTTTGTCAGCACCATATCCGTGTTAGAGGGTTTCACCAAAGTGGTAAACGTCTGACACCAGGGCCCACATGCACAAAGCGATCTTAGCGCTTAGACTATTGTAAGCCTATGTTAAAGTATGGGAGTTACGATCATCTTCATACACTGAACGATCTTAGTGCTAGGATGATCGTAACTCCCGTAGTTTAACGTAGGCTTACAATAGTCTTAGCGCCAAGATCGCTTTGTGCAAGTGGGCCCTGCATCAGTTCTGGTTTTTCTCCCTCATCAAGCTTCCAAGCCGTGGCATAACTGGAATACTGTTCCAAGCGGTGCTTAACCCAACTCACTTATTTTTCTCATTTTCTACAGCCATCGAACGATCGCCAGTGTTGCATGACATCGATGCTTCTTTTTTATATTTTAACGTCTTTGCGATTTATGAACAATTGCATTGCACCGACAGTTCGATTGATCGTTACACCCCAATTCACTCATCATAATCATACTAACTGTCATTCTCGTAAAGCAGTACCATACATGCATGAATATTATTCAGATGTCTTCATACGCACTGTTTTATAATAATAATTTTTTTAACTGTATCTACTTTCACGTACCACTGGCGAGGGATCCTCCTGAAAAAATGAAGATTTTCATTTTTACTTTCGCTTCCAAGTTATGTCATATTTAACTATACACGATCCATTTAAAAGAGAGAATACACTATGTGTCCACGCCATTTTTTAAACAAGACACGATTGACTAAATGTGTTGTTTTTTTCCAAAGTGGTAGGAAATACCAGAATATGCAACCAGCTAAAACAACCAAAGACAAAATTTAATCTTTTAGACATTTTATAGACTGGTTCAATTTTTTTCACAAATCATGACGAAATAAATAACAAATATATAGCTAATAAATAGCTGCAACTTAGGTTTGTTTGTTTAACGCCGCACACAGCAATATTCCAGCTATATGGCGGCGGTCTGTAAAATAATCGAGTCTGGACCAGACAATCCAGTGATTGATGTCCTCGATCCACGCAATTGGGATTGGATGACCACCCGAATCCCGCTGGCGACAAACATTTTTCATGATATTGTTCTATCATCAAGATGCATTATAGGGAAAAAAAGAGGTTCCGTCATTGTCAAATAGTGTTTAACCAACAATTCAGTTAGATAGACCACGGATAAAGGAGCCATGGTTTAATGTGCATTTTACGATGGTATAACTAAGGGAAACTGAAAGTAGTTCCGGCAGATTGTGCTTTTTCACTCATGACTAACCATAAGTATCAGTTAGTGATATTTCCTGTTGCATATCATCAGGTCGGACTCTGGTACAGTAAACTACGGTTATAACGAACCCAAAGGGACCACTAATTTTAGTTCGTAATAACCGTAGTTCGTTGTAAGCATATATACATCAAATGGCCGGGACTAAAAAATAAGTTCGTTATGCCCGTCAGTTCGTTATAAGCGTGTTCGTTATAAACGTAGTTGTTTTAACGCACTGGTGGACAATGTGAGGCAACACATCTTTTGTAAAGAAACATCATTATGTAATATATATTCGTATTTATATCAATATGAATTATATATGTCCAAAAACATGTGTACTTACTGCCGCCATACAGGGAGCCTGGAAGAGAAGTAGACAGTATTACCGATACATGTCACACTAGAAATAGCTGCAGCTGTGCTTTTGTGTTATAAATTTAAAAATTAACATGCATTATGATGTAGAAATATAAAATGTATCGTCATCAGTATTTATCTTAATTTTAACCACCTTCTACCCGCATCAGTCGAGCATCATAACAGTTTAGGTTTTTAAAGGGAAATGACTTACCACCGTTAAGAGATCCTGCTGAAAAGATGAATATCATCGGTTGTTTATATATCTAATGTGATTATGTATATAAAAGTCTTTATTAGGTACACTATCTTCAAAACCAGTTTTTAATTAACAATATCCTTTTGCATATTAACACGACGTATATTAATTCAGTTTTACTTAAGGAAATACCTACCTCCACGACCTCCAAGACCTCCAAGACCTCCAAGAGCTGCAAGAGATTGCAAACCTGGACAAAAGAAAATAGCGCTGTATGGATGAAACAAAGCATATACAACAAAACACTGTTTACAGACAAAGTAAACAAAAGCATGACGATGACTGTTTTACGTTTTATAGCTAATGTACTCGAGCAGTATTTAAAAAGATGTTAGGAGAGTAGCGCTACTTTGCAGGGTATTATCCTTTGCAGTAGCATGAGGTGAGGTGATATTGGGTTTAACGTCGCGTCCAAGATTATTGCACGTATATAGCGACGTGCATGTGTGTGTGTGTGTGTGTGTGTGTGTGTGTGTGCGTACGTGCGTGCGTGCGTGCGTGTGTGTGTGTGTGTGCGTACGTGCGTGCGTGCGTGCGTGTGTGTGTGTGTGTGTGTGTGTGTGTGTCTGCTTGTACTATTCCGGACTAATGCCCGATTTATAGTGCTAGCTCACTGAGATACCATGCCGCAGTTTAACATGAATACCCCACTCAGACACAATATACTGACTCCGAGCCGACCAGTTGTTTTAGCCCCTTTATGCCGAGCGCCAGACAGGGTAACAACAAGTACCATCTGTTAGCTTCTTTTGGTATGACGCGGCCGGAGAACGAACCCCGAACCTTCAGCTCTCCGGGCGGCCGCTCTACCACTAGACCACGGAGGCGGTCTGCAGTAGCATGAGATCGGGCATTAAAAACTGCCCGAGAGTCGAACAAAACGAGGGCTTCTGCGATGACAATACCGTGTTGTTACAACTATTGTAGCGTGGTAATATCCTTAAAGCAACTCAGACCGCCTCCGTGGTCTAGTGGTAGAGCGTCCGCCCGGAGAGCGGAAAGTCCGGGGTTCGATCCCCGACCGCGTTAAAGAGATGGTACTTGTTGTTATCCTGTCTGGCGCTCGGCATTAAGGGTCTAAAACCAGGACTGGTCAGCTCGGAGTCAGTATACTGTGTCTGAGTGGGGTATTCATGTTAAACTGCGGCATGGTATCTCAGTAAGCTAGCACTATAAATCGGCATCAGTCCGGACTAGTACAAGCACAAACACACACTACATGCACGTCGCTATATACGTGCAATAATCTTGGACGCGATCTAAAACCCAATTTCACCTCACCTCACATAAAGCAACTAAATAAAACTAAACATCATGGCGGTTGTTAGTTACTAATGCGTATTTCGTTAAATATTTGCCTATCATCGTATCATCACTGCAGTGAGTATGAGTGGGTGGGTATGGTTTTACGCCGCTTTTAGCAATATTCCAGCAATATCACGGCGGGGGACACCAGAAATGGGCTTCACACATTTCACTGCAGTCTGCCGAAACGTTGCAAAACTAAGGATTGTACTTGTAGCACAGTGGTGTATTGTCCGATTCGCCCTCCGTCTACTATCTATCGAGTGGTTCTCATTAAAATTTGGGGCGGTGGGGTAGCCTGTTGGTTAAAGCGTTCGCTTGACACGCCGAAGACCCGGGTTCGATTCACCACATGGGTATTATGTGTAAAGGCTTTTCTGGTGCCGCCCCCACTGTGACAACGTGATTGATAATGGCCCGTGTTAAGGAAAAATGAGGGCATTTACAAATTAAAGTGGTATTTCCTTCGCCTGGTAACGTTATTTATGATAATTCTTACCCTTTTGCTATTGCGAAATATAATATATCATCAGTGTAAAAAAGACTGCTGGTGACGACAAAATGATATCATCTTGTTCTAAAGTGGTGATATTGTTACAAACAATGACTAGCATGCAATGTTGTGCAGAGTTACCTTCCTTGGTCGTACCAGGATTATGTTTCTAGGTATGTCAGCATGAAACTCATGCTACTGTTCTTCATCCAAGTGGTAAAAGTGTGAGACCTGCATTACTTCAGGATTTCATCCCACATTAAGCTTGACACACATACCACTGAAACACTGTTCAAATCGGCGTTCAACCAAACTCTCTCCCTCACAAGATGTAGTAACCAAACTCTTACCTCCGAATGAACCGCCTCCAACTAAGACAAAATAGAAACAATTTTCCAATTACAAGTTTCCTGAATTTAAGACAGGTGTCATACAAAATGTGTTACAGCAGTCAAGAAACGTGTCCAACTGGGAGATATGTTGTATTAATACAGTGTTATATTTTAATGAATACAAAAGAGTTCATGCCATATTCGACGGTGTTGGGGAACTGACAAATAGCTACTTGTAGAAACTATATCACTTACCGTATGAGGAACCGCCGCCAGCTAAAAGTAAAGCAAAAAAACCCAGTTTTAATACCAATTATCCGACTGCCACTGGCAATAAAACAATATATTTGCCCAATCAGAATTTTCGGCCAGAATCAACTGTTTTCAAGCATCATTTCTCACGGAGCACCTATTCGCATGTGTTTAAATACGGAATTATATTTGTTTCCTGAAAGTCACGTGAAGTTTTCCCCATTATTATTAAAATAATGTTGGTGATCAGTTCGTCGTAATTTGCTACGGATTTCACCTTTTGATATGACATGTCGTAACGCATTACGTGTTGAGCCTCAATTCAGAACCAGAAAACGGTGTAAACAATTATCAGTTTCCTCTCACATAATGACACAAAATATTCTTTACACAACTTCAACCACAGCTGACTTGACGATTGAGCATCAGTCAGCCTCAATCAATGACCACTGAGTCATCAGTCACAAAGATGTCTTAGTGTCAACTTTAGCAGAGTCGAAGTGCGAAAATCACGTTGTTGGGGTCTAGGTGGCAGAGGACGTCTAAGAGGGTCATGCAGTCACATGGTAGCTAATGCTCTATATCTGACGTCGAAGAGGGTCATGCAATCACATGGTAGCTAATGCTCTACATCTGACGTCTAAGAGGGTCATGCAATCACATGGTAGCTAATGCTCTACATCTGATGTCTAAGAGGGTCATGCAATCATATGGTTCCTAATGATCTACATCTGATGTCTAAGAGAGTCATGCAATCACATGGTAGGTAAAGTTCTGCATCTGACGTCTAAGAGGGCAATGCAATCATATAGTAGCTAATCTTCTTCATCTGACGTCTAAAAGGGTCATGCAATCACATGGTAGCTAATGTACTACATCTGACGTCTAAGAGAGTCATGCAATCATATGGTTCCTAATGTTCTACATCTGACGTCTAAGAGAGTCATGCAATCACATGGTAGCTAATATTCTACATCTGACTCTAAGAGGGTCATGCAATCATATGGTAGCTAATGTACTACATCTGAGGTCGAAGAGGGTCATGCAATCATATAGTAGTTAATGTTCTACAGCTGACGTCTAAGAGGGTCATGTGATCATATAGTAGCTAATGTTCTACATCTGACGTCTAAGAGGGTCATGTAATCATATAGTAGTTAATGTTCTACAGCTGACGTCTAAGAGGGTCATGTAATCATATAGTAGTTAATGTTCTACAGCTGACGTCTAAGAGGGTCATGCAATCATATAGTAGCTAATGTTCTACAGCTGACGTCTAAGAGGGTCATGTGATCATATAGTAGCTAATGTTCTACAGCTGACGTCTAAGAGGGCCATGTAATCATATAGTTGTTAATGTTCTACAGCTGACGTCTAAGAGTGTCATGCAATCATATAGTAGTTAATGTTCTACAGCTGACGTCTAAGAGGGTCATGCAATCATATAGTAGCTAATGTTCTACAGCTGATGTCTAAGTGAGTGAGTATGTGAGTTTGGTTTTACGCCGCTTTTAGCAATATTCCAGCAATATCACGGCGGAGGACACCAGAAATGGGCTTCACACATTGTACCGATGTCGGGATTCGAACCCGGGTCTTCGGCGTGACGAGCGAACGCTTTAACCACTAGGCTACCCGACCGCTCCTTGTACTGCATGAGTAGCATATTGATTGAAATAAGAAGGCCAGTCTCAAAAGATTAACATGTTGGAGGCTTAATTCTAAATGTTCCCCGAAGTAGGAGGCCATGCAGCCATGAAGTGGCTAATGATCTGGAAGTAGGATGGTAAACGAATTCGTGTTTGTGCCCCTCGACATGCGCAGCCTTATATCTCCACAAAGACAAAACTGTAATAAAAATCTAATCTTACTAATCAGGTACGGGTCGGGTCGGTCAGGCACATCCAAATTTTCAAGTTGAGCAACAGTTCGAATTCTTCCCCCAATCAGATGTCTGCTCTGATCCTCAACTGAAAGAAAAACGTAACATTACAGTGGAGAGTCCATGTTACAATAGATACCAAGTAACCTTAGCTGGGCGTTTGAGGGGGTGACTTGGCTGGTTGCGCGTCAACATACCGCGGCGACATGGGTCGGTGTTAACAATATTAATCACAGAATTGTCTGGTCCAGACTCGATTATTTACAGGTTCCAGGCATATAGTATATATAATCTTGCGGTGTTAAACAACAAAGAAATATTACTGTGACTGAAATTATATTCTAAACAATATATATATATATATATATATATATTATTGAGGTACAACAGGTATTTAAACAAAGTAGCAATATAACCCCTTAGCTTATGATAAAGGATATGTTCTTTGTGTATTCTATAATATTAATCAGCAAATGTACTTAGTATATCGTACAGAATTGTACAGAATTGTACAGAATTGTTCTCTGTACATGTACATTGAGTCCCTAAGGTAAAGTTGGAACAGACGAAGACTGACATTATCAGAACACATACACTGTAGCAAACTGTGTTACATCATAAAGGCAACGGTTGCGCTATGGCTATACACTGTAGCAAACTGTGTTACATCATAAAGGCAACGGTTGCGCTATGGCTATACACTGTAGCAAACTGTGTTACATCATAAAGGCAACGGTTGCGCTATGGCTATACACTGTAGCAAACTGTGTTACATCATAAAGGCAACGGTTGCGCTATGGCTATACACTGTAGCAAACTGTGTTACATCATAAAGGCAACGGTTGCGCTATGGCTATACACTGTAGCAAACTGTGTTACATCATAAAGGCAACGGTTGCGCTATGGCTATACACTGTAGCAAACTGTGTTACATCATAAAGGCAACGATTGCGCTATGGCTATACACTGTAGCAAACTGTGTTACATCATAAAGGCAACGGTTGCGCTATGGCTATACACTGTAGCAAACTGTGTTACATCATAAAGGCAACGATTGCGCTATGGCTATACACTGTAGCAAACTGTGTTACATCATAAAGGCAACGGTTGCGCTATGGCTATACACTGTAGCAAACTGTGTTACATCATAAAGGCAACGGTTGCGCTATGGCTATACACTGTAGCAAACTGTGTTACATCATAAAGGCAACGATTGCGCTATGGCTAAACACTGTAGCAAACTGTGTTACATCATAAAGGCAACGACTGCGCTATGGCTATACACTGTAGCAAACAGTGTTACATCATAAAGGCAACGATTGCCCTATGGCTGCTATACACTGTAGCAAACTGTGTTACATCATAAAGGAAACGATTGCGTTATGGCTATACACTGTAGCAAACTGTGTTACATCATAAAGGCAACGATTGCGTTATGGCTGCTATACACTGTAGCAAACTGTGTTACACCATAAAGGCAACGATTGCGCTATGGCTGCTATACACTGTAGCAAACTGTGTTACACCATAAAGGCATCGATTGCGCTAAGGCTGCTATACACTGTAGCAAACTGTGTTACATCATAAAGGCAACGGTTGCGCTATGGCTATACACTGTAGCAAACTGTGTTACATCATAAAGGCAACGGTTGCGCTATGGCTATACACTGTAGCAAATTGTGTTACATCATAAAGGCAACGACTGCGCTATGGCTATACACTGTAGCAAACTGTGTTACATCATAAAGGCAACGACTGCGCTATGGCTATACACTGTAGCAAACTGTGTTACATCATAAAGGCAACGATTGCGCTATGGCTATACACTGTAGCAAACTGTGTTACATCATAAAGGCAACGATTGCGTTATGGCTATACACTGTAGCAAACTGTGTTACACCAAAAAGGCAACGAGTGCCCTATGGCTATACACTGTAGCAAACTGTGTTACATCATAAAGGCAACGATTGCGCTATGGCTGCTATACACTGTAGCAAACTGTGTTACATCATAAAGGCAACGATTACGCTATGGCTGCTATACACTGTAGCAAACTGTGTTACATCATAAAGGCAACGATTGCGCTATGGCTTCTATACACTGTAGCAAACTGTGTTACATCATAAAGGCAACGATTACTCTATGGCTATACACTGTAGCAAACAGTGTTACACCATAAAGGCAACGATTGCGCTATGGCTGCTATACACTGTAGCAAACTGTGTTACATCATAAAGGCAACGATTACTCTATGGCTATACACTGTAGCAAACAGTGTTACACCATAAAGGAAACGATTGCGCTATGGCTATACACTGTAGCAAACTGTGTTACACCATAAAGGCAACGACTGCGCTATGGCTGCTATACACTGTAGATAACTGTGTAACATCATAAAGGCAACGACTGCGCTATGGCTGCTATACACTGTAGCAAACTGTGTAACACCATAAAGGCAACGGTTGCGGTATGGCTATACACTGTAGCAAACTGTGTTACATCATAAAGGCAACGATTGCGCTATGGCTATACACTGTAGCAAACTGTGTTACACCATAAAGGCAACGATTGCGCTATGGCTATACACTGTAGCAAACTGTGTTACATCATAAAGGCAACGATTGCGCTATGGCTATACACTGTAGCAAACTGTGTTACATCATAAAGGCAACGATTGCGCTATGGCTATACACTATAGCAAACTGTGTTACATCATAAAAGCAACGATTGCGTTATGGCTATACACTGTAGCTCACTTTACTGACCTTGGTAGAGTCTTCCAGTTGGACTTTGGATAACTTGACGGTAATCCGGAGCTGCAGTAGATCAGATTACGAGGGAATCGTGAGTGTGCGTAGTAATTAGTCACAAAGTATGAAAATTTTCTTGTTTATGGGATTATCTAGTCGAAGGTCAGACAAGTACTTGTCAGCAAACCTCCATGAGTTATGTCGTCAGCGATTCATTATATACATCGCGAAAAAAGTGAAGCTCCACTTCTTAATGTTCCCAGATTTTTATATTCCTATTTCCCAACTTCCATGTAGCTTTGGGAAATATCTACGTCTGACATTGTGATTGTGTAATATGCCACCGATTCCTGCTGAAACGTTCATATAAGAACAATGTATGTTCCTCAAGGTGATAGCAAATGAGCCACAAAATATGTCATTACATTATTGATTTCGGCTGCTGTATTTCAATATGATACGATTTACGAAAATTATTATTGTATGGAAATATTTTGTTAGCTATTTTCCAGATAGATATTATTCGGCTGGATTATATGACCCTTCGCTGGGCGTGTTTTTTTCTGCATTCTGCAATCTTTGCGATTTTGCTTTTGCGGAAGCATATGGCATTGTCCATTTTGGAATGGTGTCATACTTATTAAGGTGTGTATTCTGTATAACTTACTGCCATCAGGAATGGTGAAAATACGAGATCTTCCTAGGCCGGAGCTTCTGCGACCGCCAAGGAGGCTGGACCCTTTTAAAAGTAAATATATAGTTTTACCTGCTTGAAAAGAATACATTTAGAATACAAATCAAATTGTTTACACCTTCAGGAGCCAGATGGGAGACCTTATATCTCCCTTTACTTTTATGACCTTTAGACCGAGAAAAATGATGAAAAAGCGCAGTCGTTTAGGAGTATTCACGAGAACGAGATGGAAAACGAAATGGACAATCCTAAGAATCTCTCGTTGAACCAATCTCATTAAAATCAGATCTTAGTTTTGCTAGCGCTAAACAAGGATCTGAGGACATCCCATTAGGGGTTACGTCCGAACGACCTGTCATCCGACCAATCAGAGCGTCGCTTACCAGATCATGTAAGAGACAGTGGGAATGTGATTTCTAATCATGCAACCTCGAAGACTTTAACACGGGATATTCTGAACAAGGTTATGGGCTTAACGATTGAATCCATACAGTGATTGCATGTCTTCTTACCCCGACGGCATGTATCATTTCTCATAACATCGATCACTAGATTGTGTTACTCGATTGCTAAAGGTCGCTTTTAAGAACATACAAACGCAACAAAAATCATAAACTGAACAAAAGCCTACCTCTGTTGTACATCCCGCTGGTGAGGCATGGCAACAGGCATAAGGTGATCACAAGGGCTGTCCGCATGATGAACAATCTGAATAGGAAACATGCATATAAGTTCTCCTTATTTCGGTATTAGCCCAGTAGAAACAAAATGCATATAAGTTCTCCTTATTTCGGCATTAGCCCAGTAGAGACAACATGCATATAAGTTCTCCTTATTTCGGCATTAGCCCAGTAGAGAAAACATGCATATAAGTTCTCCTTATTTCAGTATTAGCCCAGTAGAGACAACATGCATATAAGTTCTCCTTATTTCGGTATTAGCCCAGTAGAGACAATAGTTCCAGTACCCCTTTAGAGCCGAAATTTAGGTATTTGTAGTACATAGAAAAGCATGTTTTTGTACTTTTGTTAGAGTTTGTCGGTGTACATGTGTACATGTGTGTAGTATAGTTATAAGACAAAACATGAGAATCAGCCATCGCTTGCTGCCAGCGGACGTTTCAGGTTTTTTTCCCACGGGTTGACAGCAATTATTATAATATAACGTTGCAGCCAAGACTTAAAAGTTAATTGTCTTGTGTGGAGTCTTAGAGTTTGTGACCTAATCAACCGCGATAAGCATCCCACCAAGAATTTCAGATATAGAGTTGGACGGATGAGTGTGAGAAAGAAGGCAGAGAGTTTTAAGATATGAAAGACATGTTTCTAAGAAAGTGTAAAAAGATTGTTTTAAGGGACATGCGGTTTTTTAATCTCTCCAAGTTACTGTCTAAATTACTATCCTGCAACTGAAGTTATGGAATTATCTCATATGGAATTGGTGAAGTTTGACACCAAAGACAACATTAAAGTGCTGGATCGAGTTGAAACTTTGATATCCTCTATCTCCAATAATTAGATATGTTAAGAGTTCACAACCTTCACTGTTTAATACTATGCTGACTGATCGTAAGCAAATATTGAGGTTCAACAGCATTCTGTGCATTTTGCACTTTGTTATATCTGAGTTTAACATGAAACTCAATGCAAGCTAGGCTAGCAGGCTAGGCATAGTCACATAAACGCGCACTAATTAAATTGATAATTAGCGATATCATCTTTCCAGTAAGTCGAATAAGGCAAACCTAAACTTTATTATAAATGTTGAATGAGCAAATACCCCTTGAAATATCTCATAACCATTTATCCTGTCAGTCTAGAGAACCTCCTCTATAATCGTTCTCAAAGCAGTAACAGGAGACGGCTAAGTGACATATTTCACCAACCATTAACATATTATATAAAACCCGTGTGAATGCCGGGTTAGAATAGGTTCCTAGCAAACTCTGCTTGTAGTAAGAGGCACCCTACACAGAGGTGGCCACACTCAGACCTGGTTGACTGCGTGCCAAAGTACCCCCAGAAGGTTGCTCATGATATCAGTTACCAGCTTGTCTGGCCCTATAATTGACTGTCTGACTCTATAATTTACGGGTAGCCGTCTTATATAAATATAATTGTACTGAGGGTGGCTGTAAACAAAAAACAAACATTTAGACTTAGAGAATATCTGATATCAGGGATATGGAAAGAAATCATATTTCAACAAATATATAATCCCACGCGTAAAGTAACCCATTGCTTGTAACAGCAAGTAAACTTTTCAATGAATTAAAAAAAAGTCTCGCTGCTGTCAAATAATTATTTTAGGGACACGCTCGAAATACATTATGGCACAGTGCGTACATGATAATCAATACATGTGACCATCTCAACAAGCAACAGAAAAAAAATCTATTTGAAGTAATAGGGTCATCTCATATCTGTATATTTATACGAAACTGAACAAGCTAAAATACAGTTCCCATAGCCTTAGACATATGTAGAGTTACACGTTTAAGAATTATATAAATCGAGAAAAACATCGCGATGCAAATCGAAACAAGAATACAATCAGGCATCACATTACGTAAAGTAATATGTTCGTTTGTCCAACTTCGTTCTATGGATATGTTAAAAAAAGATATATTACTGCCAACAGTTACATGACACATAATCCAATATTGCATGTACGTTTAAGATGCTACAAAAGAGAATTTTGTTTCAATATCAAAATGTATCTCAATGCCTTACCTGGTGAAGTATGAAAGGCAAATAGAATGGTCAGATTAAAAGCGTGTTTCCTTATATACTGACAGATTGTCAGGCAATAAAAAAATTAACACGGACGTACCTGTAACGGTAAGTACACGATATGTCACGGTGATTGACGGAGAATGATTAGAGACATCCCAAAGTCAACAGTGATCGCTTGTCACACTGTCATATGTTATCTGTTCTTATTTATCCCATCATGACAATTATATACCATGTTATTATTAACGATCGATTGTAAGGTTATACCTCTTGACATGCTGCCGTTGTCTGTCTTTTTCTCATATTTCAAAGGATTGAGTTCTTTTATAGACAAGTTTTACAAACAGAACGTGAAGGCATTTGTAACTTGACAGGCAGTCTTATCTTGAGACATTCCACTGATCGTTTACAAATGCCTTGTGTATGGATTGTGTAACAAGGTGATTTCAAATTGAAGGGCAAAGGGTAACCAAGAAATCGGTTTTACAGAACTGAATTGTGAAATCCGTTAATGACCAAACTAGATCAATGAATATTCAACGGATTAGTGAGTGAGTTGGGTTTAACACCGCTTTTAACAATATTCCAGTTATATCGCGGCGTGTCAGCTTAATGTGGGAGGAAAGCCCGAAGTGATGGAGGTCTCAGACGTTAGCCACTTCAGTGAAACCCACAAGCACGGGTAGGGTGCTGACAAACCTAGAAACATAATCTGGGCGAACCGGGATTCGAACCCACGTTCATAGGTTTCTGGCGTGTCCAAGGGACGCAACTCTGCACATCGAATTGCGGCGCTTTAGACGACTGGGCCACCCGTGCCCCCCTTCAACGGATTGTATTGAAACACTCAGTTTTCGATTCTCAGTCACAAAGGCTGCAATGGGTCAAATGAGTGGCAGCAGCAGTAGTAAGAGGCCTTAGAATTAATGTAAGTGCATTCACGTATGTTCAACATTTCGTCACTGTCGAATGTCTTGAAAGAGGCATGTCTCCGTTCTTAAATCCAGAACAGTATTGGAAGCTTGCAGGAATTCCATACTTCCAAATAGGTATCAAGACTGCACCTTGCAATAGGCCTCGAATCGCCCTCTTGTCGACATTATGTAAATAAAAGCGACATAATTATTTCCATATTCAATAGAAATTGTGACAAAAGCAATGTCGAATGTACGAAGTCGACTATATCTCGAGCATGTGTTTATGAATCACTATAATATAGTGATGATACCGGGTGTTCTATCATAAACCAAGGGGCGATCGGGTTGCCTTGGGGTTTAAAGCGTTCGCTTGTCACGGTAAAGACCCAGGTTCGATTCCCGACGTGGGTACACAGTGTGAAGACCATTTCTGTTGTCCCCCGCCGTGATATTGCTGGACTATTGCTAAAAGCGGCGTAAAACCATACACACTCACTCTATCATAAACCCAATTCAAGTTCAGCTGTTCACCTGAAACACAGGAACACATGGTTCAAGTCAAAATAGGGAATTGCATCGGACATCATTATTGTCACTGATGCGTCAGATTTGGAAATGTCATCCACATGTCTACCATAAAACCTTTTGAAAGCTTTACGAAGGCCTTGAATGATGTTACCTTGATCAAAAAACTTCAAAGTACGAGTCGTATGACGCTCTTTGAAATCTTGGTAGAAAGAGTATGATCGATTGTATCTAAAAAAATGTGAAATGTAAACACCAACGGTTGGACTGCTGGAATATTGTTCGACATTGAGGGAAAGTTGACTATTGAAAAGTTGAAGTCATCCCTCTTGTCAAAGAATCTCATGAAGATGATTTGTCACTCTGAATCTTTACGCATTGATCTAAATATGAACCAGATGAGGCGGTCTAACTAGTCTCCTTTTTTCCTGTTCAGGTGCGTAAATCAGTGGCTGTTGGATGGTTATTGAACGATATCGGATCATCGATATCAGATCATCACCACAGCCATCCCTTCCAGCAACTGCCCCTCCCAACACTGCCGAATGATGAAGCTTGGCATGTTCATGCTAACGACCAGAGGCATATTACGTCGCAGCCACCGATTGCTGTTCAAATCTGGATGCTTGATCTTTTACTGGCAGTTTCAATCTTTACTGCCTCTGCTAATTTCTTCAAATATATTTACAACAGGCTCTACAACCACCAATAGCACTTAATGAACACATTAAATTGAAACACAGTTTTAGTTTCACAAACACAAAAGCCAATATACAATAAATCCAAAAAAAATCAACGACAAATTACAGGCCCAACAATATATATGAATGCGTCAATGTTGAAAGTCTCGAAATTCGTAATGGTGTTGGAAGCTAGGAGGAATCATCATTTATTTTATTCAGGCCATAGGCCCATATACATACAATAATATTATATATATATATATATACAATTTTGTACATGTACAAGTATAAACATGCAGTCTTGTATGCACAGAGATGTGCACGTGTACAATATTGTGAAAAATAAACCACACTTTTCAAGTAGATAAGACGCAAGTCAGGTCGTGAATCACCCTTATCTTATATAGGAAAATCCGGCCTTCCAGAAACTCTTACATCCCAAAACTTCTCGGACGAAGAGAATCTGTTCCGGCGGATTATCGATACTTTTTTCATGCAACCTGTGTGATTCGCGGATGGAGTGGAGCTGCCGGTAGGGCAGGATATACTTAACCTTTTTCGCGAGCACCTGGTGCCATCACTGATTTGCAGTGATCCATTCATATAATTTTGACCCCTGTTTCCGAGATAATCGGGACTCGTTATTCTTTAGCGTTAGGTTTTTTCTTCAGATGCCTATCCAACTTTTATTATATAATATTGTTTGTTTGTTTATTTGTTGTTTAACGCCGCACTCACCAATAGTCCAGTTATACGGCGGCGGTCTGTAAATAATCGAGTCTGGACCCGACCATCCAGTGATTGACATCCTGAGCATCGATCCACGAAATTGGGATACGATGTCATGTATCAACCAAGTCAGCGAGCCTGACCAACCGACCCCGCTATTGTATACTAAGAAAGTAACTGTGCTTCATATAAAGTGGTATAATTGTTATATTATCTAAAAAAACAAACACAATATTTGATCATTCGTCTGGTCTATGTTTTATCCTAACAATTATATTGACTCGAGACTTAGAGACACGCCCTACAAGAGGGATGGTGTAACAACTCATTTAACAAAGTCAATATCGGATGTAACGACCATTTGCCTTGATACAGGCGAGACAGGGGCGGTGCATTGAAGACACCAGATGATTGAATGTCATCTAAAGATTTGCCCAACTAAGAACCGGTTGGTTCTGGTCCTGACGTAGGCGTCTCTCCATCTCATCCCATGCAGGTTCGAGGTGGCGAGAGGTCTGGAGAAACAGCCACAGCCATGGCAGTTCAGTAATGTTATGACGTTACGTCCCGCATTTGCACAAATGGTAGAACATGATCTCAATCGATGTCGCCATTCAAATTAACGATGATTAGTTGTATGTTCTCCTGAGTTGTGACGCCACTGATACTATTAGACTTCTACCCCCAAACTTACGACGGTGGGTGACATAAGCGTCGGTTAAACGTTCTCGTGAAGACCTGTTGACCCTTGCACGACCATCAAAGCCGTCCAGATGAAAACCGGGACTCCTCTCTGAACAGTATAGTGTCCAAGTCTTGTCTCCTGAACCTCGGATGCTGTCTACGCCAAGCTAGGCGTCCCTAACGGTGACTTTTAAAATTTGGCGTATCACTGGACGTCGGGGTGGGATGTTGTGCTCCCTCAACCGGTTGCGTACGGTTCTGGCATTATTTGGACTCAATCCCGGAACTGTCCGAGCTGTTAATGTGGCAGTTTGGTATCAACTCCGCAGATGCACCAACCGAATATGGTTTGTCGTGTTGACGTGACGTCACACGCAGACGAGCGGCCCCTTGGAATTAATGACTGTTGCCCCGCGGTAGATGACGCCTCCAAAAAGAAGATGATATTTTGTTTCGATGAACATTAAAAGGTGTGGCAATCTCGTTTTGCGCCATTCCTGGATGCAGCATACCCACGACGCATAGACGTTGACTTTCAGCGTTGCGTAAGCGTTATATTATTCACAGTTAAACAAAATCATTTGTATGAGCACCTGAAAGCTAAATTTTCATTGTGTGCTGTTCACATTAAAAAACACGTGTGTGAGTATCATGCTCCCAAGAAAAACGGAAACATCCAAATTGTGCGCAGTGCATTAACATGGACGTGCAAATTGTGAATCACGACCTTAAAGTCGAGATGTATTGAACAATGTATTATTTAAGTTCAGATTTAATGTATATTATTGAACCTTATATAAAAATCAGTTTTCCGTTAATAAATGTACGGGAAGACTACTGTTCGTGTTTTATGTCAACAGCGCGAGTCCAATACATACTTTGACATTTACAGCGAGATCCACAACTCCTTACTCCCTGGCGCTTTGATTGATAGGGTGGTCACGCTTGATGTCTTTGTTGACGTGGATCATTGCTCATGATACTGATCACTGCTGAAAATTAATCACAATGAGGACGAATCTATGAGTCGCACCGACACATTTTTTTACACATCAACAAATTATATCAATGTTTGTGTTACTTCGGGGAACATATAGAATTAAGCCTCCAACATGTTAATCTTTTGAGACTGTCCCCTACTTATTTCAATCAATATGCTACTCATCCTGTACAAGGAGCGGTCGGGTAGCCTAGTGGTTAAAGCGTTCACTCGTCACGCCAAAGACCCAGGTTCGATTCCCGACATGGGTAAAATGTGTGAAGCCCATTTCTGGTGTCACCCAATGTGATATTGCTGGAATATTGCTAAAAGCGGCGTAAAGCTATACTCACTCACTCATGTTGTACAAGAGTATTCAACTGGTAACTGGTAACATGATACGTGTGGTGTATTACTGACATTACAAAACATATACTAACTGGTAATATTGTAACGTGTGGTGTATTACTGACGTTACAAAACATGAAATGACCGGTAACATTGTAACATGTGGTATATTACTGACATT